GTAGATCAGAAACGGATGGTCATGTCACAATGAAGTATTGTTTCAACAGAATGACAAACAACAAAACGTTTTCTTCTCTTGTTTACTGGTACATCAACAAAGGCACTCGGTCAACACTTTGGAATCAAGCTTGGGAATGTGATCTGAGCAAAAATCACCTCTCACCAAAGGATGCATAACCAAATAGTGTTGGTACAAGACAGGTTTGTGTCAGGTGCCTTTGTTTCAAATAGCACTTAGCCAAGGCTAGCCTTGCTGACTAGAAGTAGAAATGAGACATGACATGATTGATGTCAATATGTTCAGTTTTATATAAGAAATACTTCATTGTGGTTATATCATGGAAATCAACAAATCAAACATACAAATACATTATTGTGGCTTCAATGACCCAGTGGTGAATGAATAGATAAATATACTTATCTGCTCACTTGCCATGTACTCACGTGCAGATAAACACAAAGGCATTCTCCATTCAGAAACATAAGATGCAGCATTACTGGACTTACAAAGAATATAAAGGATTGTTGACTAGCTGAAAAGGAACCATGCCAAATGGTGAATTCCACCAGTAAAATATCCTGTTCTTTAATGCCATGATTGGTAATTAGATACCTTTTACCGGTACACAAAATATACAGCTTCTTGATCACAAACCTTCACATGACCTCACGTTCAAGGATAAAGCCATGAAAGAGCATACACTACATACTACAGGTGACCATGGGTACAAGGACCCATCCTCATCAGAAGCCCAATACAGAGCTATATATGGGGTTGTAGTCTGGAAGACATTATTCAGCATTTTCAATGATCAGTTGATTTCTACAATCATTTCTATCATGAAGCTGCTGTTAAAGCTGACCTCTGGGATGTAGAGTATGCCAACAGGAGACTCCTTCAATGGATGCCATATAATTCCAGGGCAAGGATGTAGGTTGTAGCCATGTCCTCTAAGTATCTTATTGTAACACACACACAGACTCCAGGCATCAGTCGCTGTAGTACCTCTTCTTGAGCGTCCTGTACTTCCTCAGCATATACAGAGCCTCAAGCTCTTTCACTACATAGTTCCCTCGAGCCAACAACATCTCTATTTGCTTAGGGTCAGTAACATCTTTATGTTTAAAGAAAGCATTTTTAAGTTTCCCTCGAAAATAATCATAACCCTTGGGATAATCTCGTCCTAGGTGCAGCAACTGAAACAGGTGACAAATATATTTGAATTCAACATGCCAAGACAGATCCTGTTATATAAAAGGACAAACATGAGCTTCCAGACATATAACTGCAAGGTTGCCTTCAGTTTAATCATACACAAAGTACTAAACAAGGGAAAAATCTTAACAAAATACAATTTATACTAGTGAGGCTGGGTTAGCAAATGTTAGCTATTGATAAAAATGCGAACAGACTTAATTGCTTGTTGCTATAGATGGTCAATGTGCTGACTGAACAGTGTATGGACCAGCTGGACGGATTGAACATAAATTAAAGACAAAGTGACTCAAAATCTATCCACTGCCTATTGAATTGTGTGCTACTACCGTTCTAACATGAAACTGGTATTCACAAAAAAAAGCTTGTAAATACACACAAGAATATTTTTACAATTTCAGCTCTTCAACTCTCATCATGATTAAGTTTTACGTACATTTTTGTACAACTGTATGACCTGTGGACGTAGACTTGAGCTGGCCATTTTGTAAGATTTAGACAGTTCAACTCATCAACTGAAAAATATTCAATATATGAAAGTATTGAACATACAACATTTAATTTAATACCCAGGCAGTATCCGACAATACTATTTGCAGAGCTTTTGGGATAACAAGCAATTTTACCAGCTGAACAATGTCCGAAAACCAAGATTAAAATATTTTGGTCACAGGGCCTTCAACTTTGCTGGTCCTTTTCTCTGGAACTCTCCTCCATCACAAAAACTCGTGACAGTCTTAAAACCCAACTAAAGACAATCCTCTTCAGAAAATTCTATTAATGATAAATACATCTCAATTTCAGAGTACATTTAACATGTTAATGCATTTTAGCATTGGAGCCTTCATTATGAAGGATATATTTATAGTGCCTAGAGCATGTGCCATGTGTATGGAATTGTGCTCGATAGGTACCCATATTATCATTATTATTAACATATATATATATATATATATATATGATATAGGCCATATTCCATTTCAATGATAGCTCATTAAAGTACATGTACAACTTTACCTGTTCACAAATACCGGCTGACCTGTACACGGAAACTTAGCGACTAGCAATGTACACATATAACTTGTGAAATAGTTACACATGTAACATGCAGTGTTAGAAACTGGAACTAGTCCTATAGTCCTATCCAAACTGCCCGATAGTTAAGGTATCATAACAACTAGTAGAAATGTGACCTCTTTCACCATTTTACTATGTGTTATCATTATAAGGGCTAGTGGACTGAAACTGTCAGTTTCTATCGCTGATTAATGTCTGGTAAATAGGAGTTGATAATCATGATAATGACAAATGAATAACATGTCAGGATTAACAAATCATGGTTGTGTAGTAATATCATTAAGCTATATAATCTATACATAGTACATACAGCTAGAGACCAGTAATTGCCGAGGACAAATTATTGCCAACCCCTCCTTATAGTGTGCGTTTAAATCTTGCATCTCGTTTTACTTTTGCTCATTTTAATTTAAATTAGAAAAGATAAATATTTATCCAAATATGATAAACAAAACTGACACTTGTTAGAAAATATGAAAAAAAACCACTATATTAGCACCTTGCTCAGATACAACTTAAGTAAAGACATGTGGTGGTGACACATGACTTCCTCATGTAAACAGAAATCCAACATGATGATGCACATTTAGTTCTATCATTGCTTACCATCTGACTGTCATTTCTTATAAAAAAAAGACATTTCTGAAACCTAATTTAGATATTTTTGCAAACCTGTAATGCAAGATCCATTGAACCGGTACATAGTGTTATGGATAAACATGTTAATCAAGTTTTGGGGATATTGATTTACGATGGCAGAAGACAAATTGATAAAAACATTTCTTATTAATTTTGGAAAACTATACAATTGAATGCTATTATTGCACTTATATAGCGACGTGCATGTACGTGTGTGTGTTTGTGTGGCTGCTTGTACTAGTCCGGACTGATGCCGATTTATAGTGCTAGCTCACTGAGATACGGTGCCGCAGTTTAACATGAATACCCCACTCAGACACAGTATACTGACTCCGAGCCGACCAGTCCTTGTTTAAGCCCCTTAATGCCGAGCGCCAGACAGGGTAACAACAAGTACCATCTTTTAATGTCTTTTGGTATGACGCGGTTGGGGATCGAACCCCGGACCTTCCGCTCTCCGGGCAGACGCTCTACCACTAGACCACGGAGGCGGTCCTTTCTTGTAACGGATTTGAGAAAACTTACTATGTATTGATCATATCCCACCATGCTTTGCTTTTTATGGAAATTAAAATACTCATTGCTTACATGGTCTTGCAAACCAATTTATCTTTGAAAAGTGAGGTAAATTAGAATGAGATATTGATCTATAGACAGTGTAACAGAGTTGAGGCTTAGAAAACATACTGTACTTACCAGAGACATCTTGATGTTATTGGCTTGAACATTGTACATAAATGTGGCATCTATCACCAGCAGATGATCTTCGTACACATGTTGCCAAAAGAGGAAGCGTATGGGAGTTATCTCCCATAGCGCAGTTAATTTTTGAGTATCGGTACGTTTTAACAGAGTTGAGAGCTTTTTGAGTGTCATCTTTTTTTCCTAATTTAGTTGTTTTTTTCAATTAGGTTTCAGATAGTAATAATAGAATACATGTATTTAATGTTCATTTGAGTGTCTGAAAAAGAAAGTTTGTTACATTTTTGTAATATTTAGATATAGTTTAGGTATTATTTTTCATTCTCCTCCAGCCAAGGGACAGCCATGTTTTAGGTAAATCCTGGAAAATATTTGCTTATAAACAAACAGATATTGACTTGAAAGTACATTTCTTTAGCATTTTTATATTTTAGGAAAGGTATTCGACTTGTGAATAGTCTTGAAAAGAAAATCAAATATTTTAAACTTCATTTCTGCAAACAAACTACTGATGTACAGGTCAAGTGGGAAATTATTACGGTGTTGAGATTAGGCTATAACCCGGCGTATCGGCAGCAGGGTTACACCAACCTTTTGTCCAGTTCTACCTTAGTGTCAAATGCAACGAGAAAATACATTTACACTAGATAGTAGGCCTAGGTCTTGTGTTTCTTGTGATAGGCCTTTATGTTATACGCCAAGCAGACCGAGCAATATTATATAAACAATAATTGTGGTGTGCCAAAGGTCACGTAGGCTGGACTATATTTATTTGTTTACACGCCGACGTCGATTAGAAATCCTGAGGGTAAGTTTATTCACTTTTCAATTTATAGCGGTCTATAAAGAATAAATAACGAAACAGTCCCACTAAGTAACTTATGATCTTACTTTTTACTGGAAGCGAATGCGCGAAAGAGGCATTATCGTGTGCCGCAATCCGCAAGAGTGTTGTCTGCACGTATGAAGGTTTAAATGCTGGAATGACGAAATATGATTTTTAACCAAGCTTCTTACACAGATTACCGAACAAGGTGAAATGTCTGCTTAGACAATTATTTTCATATATGGTTTTCATCTGTTGTAATATTATAAGGGACACAGAAAAGTTAATTAATATATTTTACGTGTAAAATTTCATATGTTAAGCTGGTCCATACTTTATATTTGTACCATAAATGGATATAGCAGTTGTTTTACGACCTTTCCATCCGGAGATTTATATATAGATAATTGATGATTTCTGTATTTTATAACTCAAGTGCACTGCTCCCCTTAGAATTACATTTCTAGATTCACAATTGTTTGTTGGGATCGGTTTATACTGAAAACATAGCAAATGTTACGACATTAACGAAACGGAAACCCAGCGTTTCTGGCAGCTTGGTTGCTATCCAACAACAAACTAGAAAATTGATCACTTCTGCTCGTCGCACTACTCTTGGAAATGGTAATGACCAAGTCTGAATTTTGTTCGGTTTTGAATACAAACTATATAATCATTTACCTGGGATGTTTAATATCGTCCACATTTCTTAATTCAATTTATTTACTACCCGTGTTGCCAATGCAAGACGGTACATTCAAGACAATCTGAAGTCAGTGAAGAATCATATGTGCACGAATTTGACCGGTATGATGCCGTCATGTTACCATGAGACAAATATTTAATTAATGTTTGATGGTACATTAGATATGATGTTTGCATTCATATCGAAGGAGCCGCGAATGTCAATGTTGTTACCTTTGTTTCAGTGCGAAGTTGACGAGTTCATACTTCAGTGCATTCTGAGATATTATTCTTTAATTACATGTTTTATTTTGCAGCTGTTCTTTTCTGATTTTTATGTGCATGTACTAGCGCTATCAGGCTCTACTTACATTTACAGTTTGGGTGGTGGATGGGGGTTAGGTGTATGTATGGTTAAAGATCACTTAACTCTCAGTTAAGGCCAGTTTAAAAAGATAATTGTTTCTCGTGACTGACAGGGTGGGGAGGGAGGATTGCATTTTTATTTTTTTTATTAGTATAAAAGTAAACTTGATTCTTATGTACCATGTAATATCTTAGGCTCATGCCCCTTGTGAATCTGACACATTTGTTTCTGTATTAAGGGTGTGGCAGTGGTAGGGGGTGACCGGTCATGAGAAACAACAAACTTATTCTAACAAGCCTCCAAAGTAGCTCTATATTTGTAGCAGGAGCTTCCTGGGCAAAACTTAATTTTTTGTTTCCTCCATCTACATTGGATGAAACATCACATTTGGGTGAGAGGAACAAAAGAAAATCCTTTTGAAGGAGCTGAGTAATCTTGATGAAATGTATATGCATCATAAATACTTTATGGCTTTGTGTACACTTTGTTTCTCTACCACTTGTAGATACATATTTCCAATTTGCAGTGTAGTCACTGCTTTTTATCACAAATCAAGACATGACCTGTTTCAGGTAAGAGGGAAACAATTGAATGTGCAGACCAATGAGCACTAAGATTACATCACAAGAACATCAATATGTCTCATGCATTGTGTACAAGAACTATGTATCAGTAGTCATCTTCTCTACACATTGCTCATCATCTTCCCAAGGCAAGGGAGTTAACTGACTTTAACCGTCCAGTTTCCACCCTTCCCTTACAAGGCTGGAATGTTAGAGTGTGGAAATATGTGCAATATTAATGGCCTATTGTTATTTATTATTATGACACAGTCTCATTCGTTGATAAATAAACATGACATAACTACAAGCTGTCGTTCATCATGCAGAAGATGTGGGCTCGATTCCCCACATGGGTACAATGTGTGAAGCCCATTTCTGATGCCCCCTGTCAAGATGTTACTGGAATATTGCTAAAAGTGGCGTAAAACGATACACACTGCACCACAACTGGGACATATGTATTTATGGGTGATTGAGGAACATATTGTGTATCCAAAAAATATGCAATGATATGTATGATGAATTCATTTATGAGTAACTGAAACCTTTCTCCATACAGCTTTTTCTCTGGTTTCAAATCTATTGATTTGACTGGTTCTACTTGGTGACATGTATTAGAAAATCATATAGTTCATATTCTAATTCTTATGTGTGTATTTTGTGCTTCAGTGCACTGAAGATGTTCATTTCAATGTGCATACACTGTATCCTATATTGTTTCAATGCACTAATGTGTTTTTATTTGATTGCATGCAATTCAGGAAAGTAGTTTTTGAGACATTTGTGAAAATCCAAGCGTCTCACCCAATCAATCACAATGGCAGATGAGGTCAGTAATGAAGTGTGTGCTATAGATGTTTTGGAATGGGAAAGATGAATTGTTTGACATTGCATAGTGGTGAAACTGTAGCAGTAGTCAATAGATGTTATTTGTCTTGAGAATGTTTGTTTGAAATATAGACTTGTTTAGATTCAAATTAGCAATTGTCACAACACTTCACTAAAAGATACACACCACAAACATGAGAATGGCTGGTGTGTTAGCTGCTAAAAATGAAATAAATGTAATGCATGTCATGTCATTCAGTTCACATGTTAAAAAATATTTGTTCTTGCAGTCAATACCCAGTAGGAGATTTTAACAGTTAAGAGACTAAAATTACACAGTTGGTTTTTTGACTGTTGCTATTTGTAAATTTTAAGTTGCAATTATTTCAAGTTTATAAATGGTAACTGGAAGACTTCAAATCCCCAAGGAACTTGACATGGTCTTCAAATATGCAGCCTTTTCAATATGAGACAATTGCTTATTGGAAGGGCCAAACTAAGTTGATCCAATATTTCTTCACAAATCTTGCCACACATTTTAATTTTAAAATAATTTTGTTTGTCATTTCCATCGAAACAATTGAGACTTATAATCATTTGAAGGTTGAATCTCTTTCAAGAGTTTATCTCAAAACTGCAACATTTCTTACCCAAAAGCATCAACTGTTTCAGGAATTGTTTTTTCTTAAGTCAACCCAACCTGAAATTGATCTATAAGTGTACTATGATAGTTTTGCCATTTTAAACTTTATCATTTTTTTTGCTATAAAGTACATAGAAATATGGAACCATTTCACATGCACAAGGTTCAATATTGTGTTATTTGTAAAAAACTTACATCACGATGAAATAGGGATGGCCACAGAAGCGTGATACTTGACAGTAGCAGTCCCGGAATGAAACACCTATACAATGACCACACAGACAAGATTGCACCAAGTCTATTTTACAGTTGTGCATGACAAATTTGATGATAGATAGGAAGAAGCCAATCAATCAGCCAGATTAAATATAGGACATGGTTCAAGCTTGACATTGATCAAACTATGAATTATTATGAGTGAATGAAGCGTTAGTATCAGTAGTCATGTTACTATTGATGATTTAGTGTAAATAATGAATTATATTATGAAGATAATGATTTGCTGAACAAGCATTGCCTACAGTTTCACTTTGTGCCAACTAACCTCATCCAGCGTGACACACATTAATGATATTGCATTAGTTTTGTTCATTGCATGGTGCCAGTTTCATTTTGGTTTGCTTTGCGTGTTGTATTACAGGTGCACAGATTTACTACTGACAGTGGTGGCAGTCATTCTAATAGATGTTGCTTGAGTTACAGTATAGCATGACAAATGACACTACCAAATTCATGTGATGGTGATCTAGTTGAGCCGAAAATGGGAATGTCCCAAAAGATGTTACACCTAACATGTTACACATGTTACCCAAAAGATGTTAGGGGCGGTCAGGTAGCCTCGTGGTTAAAGCGTTTGCTCGTCACGCCGAAGACCCAGGTTCCAATCCCGACATGGGTACAATGTGTGAAGCCCATTTCTGGTGTCCCCCGCCATGATATTGCTGGAATATTGCTAAAAGCGGCGTAAAACCATACTCACTCACTCACTCAAAAGATGTTACACCTAACATGTTCTGTTCTATCATAGCAGTACTTTGTGACATTAACAAATGTGATTTATTGCAATAAACTTTTATTTTAAGCTTGATGGACAACATGCAGAAATATCTTTTATGTACAATTTTACGAAATGAGATTTAAGAAAATGTCCTGATAACAGTTTCAGTCAAAAAGCAATAATGTGATTGATTCATAAGATCACGTGAGGATACTTGGGTTTGTTGTGTATGTAGTGTAAATATGAAAAACAGATTAATTACAACTTGATAAATATGAAATATTTATTTACAGTTATTGAATAATTAGTGGCAAGTTAGCAATATGATCATACTATTTTAGTTTATACATTTTTTACTGCTTTGGTGTGATCCAGGGTTCCACCCCATAAAGCAATGTTAGTGCTATGACTATTGTAAGTCTGTGTTAAAGTATGGGCTTCACCATCATCTTAGCGCAATGACTATTGTAAGTCTGTGTTAAAGTATGGGCTTCACCACCATCTTAGCGCAATGACTATTGTAAGTGTATGTTAAAGTATGGGCTTCACCATCATCTTAGCGCAATGACTATTGTAAGTCTATGTTAAAGTATGGGCTTCACCATCATCTTAGCGCAATGACTATTGTAAGTCTATGTTAAAGTATGGGCTTCACCATCATCTTAGCGCAATGACTATTGTAAGTCTATGTTAAAGTATGGGCTTCACCACCATCTTAGCGCTATGACTATTGTAAGTGTATGTTAAAGTATGGGCTTCACCATCATCTTAGTGCAATGACTATTGTAAGTGTATGTTAAAGTATGGGCTTCACCACCATCTTAGCGCAATGACTATTGTAAGTGTATGTTAAAGTATGGGCTTCACCATCATCTTAGCGCAATGACTATTGTGAGTCTATGTTAAAGTATGGGCTTCACCACCATCTTAGCGCTATGACTATTGTAAGTTGTCCTACAAAGTAGCATTAGTATCTGACAGGAGAAGTTTATGGTGTAACTATGGTAACTGTCTCCTAAGGCAATCCAAAGTACTCTTAGGTAAATCCATTTTTAGAGTTCTCTCATTGACAATGGCAGGTGAATCACAAAACCAAAGTAATGAGACTTCTAGTTAATACGTATCATAGAGACATTTGTATGAAACCTTTTTGTTGAGTACATTTGTTTACAAATATATGTCATGTACCTGTGCTAACAACAACCCCCACAGACTCAGTGAAACATATGCTATTTCATTTGTGTAAAATATGATATTCATATTTTCATAGAAATATGATATTTCATTATTTAATTCCTATAAACTGTTGATGCTGGATTAAAGTGACAGCATACATAAATGAAGTAAATATCTTTTTTCAAACATGTGTATCATATAAATTGCTCTTAAGGTTGCATGCTAAAGTACTGTCGGAAATGCTAGAAAAATGCTCTTCTCGCTTCAATTAGTATATACAAATCATAGGACTATGAAAATACCATATCCAAATAACGGAAATCTACCTAATCTAGCCTAACCTAACTGACACTGTGATTGGCCTAAAAAGGTACTTTTACAGGTAAAATGATGATAAACTTTGTGTGTTGTCATGCATGTATGAAACAGCTAGCCTATAGCCTATTACCCAACACGTGTCTCAAGGCGACGTCCCCCCACCCTGCCTGCCCATTCACACAGACTACAGTGATTTGTATTGTAACGGAGTCGCATGCTCATATTTCTACAGTCCGTTTCACACTTCCCTCATTGGACTTAGAATATATCTGAACTTGCTGTTTTCATTTGAACTATTCTCCTGTAAAGTTGTCGATAGGACTCCTTGTGACTGAAATGTCAAACCACAGATAGGCAGATTGATAGTTACTTGATATTTCAATAGCAACAGTCTGTGAATCATTTCTATCTTGTTTTAACAGGCAAGAGGTATTTATTTTCCTAGCTTTTCTGACAGTACTTTAGGTTACAGAACCAGGTAAGAAGAGGCTGTATCAACAAATGATGGTTAATTGTGAGGGTACAGGTCAACATGCAGGTAGTGTATGGTTGTGTTGGCCTGCTGGAAGTATTCCAATATTGATAACCAACTCCTTCAGACGTCCTTTCGCCTTCCTTGATAATCCAGTGTATTATATCACTATTGTAATTCCATAATTACCTTGGACCAATGTTCCAGCATAGCTTCATTTTTAGTCAGGCTCAACTGCGTCTTGACCGCATACTAAAAATTGACAGTTAATCAAATGAAACTGTTTTTTTCATGAAGTAGCAATATCACCAGTATTTAATTCAATTTTAAACTTGGAATGTCATGTAGACTTCCCTCACCATGTCTTGTCTTAATACTCAGGAAAATATCTTTTCCTGCTAAAGTTCATTTAGATTTGTTTAAATATATGCTGAACATGTTTATTGGTTGTTGATTTCAAGCTTTGTCTGAGTGGAATAATAAGTTGGTGATAAGACTGATGAAGATGGCAATAAGACAATAAGGCAATAAATGTCAATGCTGAATGGGTCCAGGACCCAGGTTATGTATCAAGATATAATGGATGTACATTGGATGATAGAGGACACATTTTCTCTGAAACTCACTTTTTTGTTGTAATGAACAAGGATTACAGAGGTTGTCTATGATCAGAACTGTCAGACTATCACACTAACTGAATAAAACAATAGGTACTGAAATAATTATTTTTATGATGTCCTTAATTACTTTCCCATAACAGTAAAGCTGATACCATATTGTGTGTCTGAGTGAAGTGAGTATTGGAATGTACAGGGAGGTAAGAATGTTGTACTGTTTGAGAGGGTCAGTGGGTAAGTGTATCCTGGTCTCGTTGAAGCCACCAAAGAAAGATGGAAAGAAGAAGCTGACCAAGGCTGACAAGGAGAAGTTGAAGCGGGAGGAAGCTGAACGCAAGGCACAGGAGGAAGGTGGGTGGATGTCGCATTCTTCTCAATGTCATTAACATCAGTTACTCGATAGCTCTCTGCATTAAGATCTGACCAACCCTCAGCCTCTATAAAAGGTCATGTCAGGTGAGGTTCTGTGGGTTCTTGAACCAATCAGATGTGAGCCTTCTAAAAGGATTTGGCTTCATTCCTTTGCCATTTCAGTTTGGAAATTTTGTTCAAATCATGGGGCTCAGAAATGACAAGGTGTATAAAAATGTCCACAACAGTACGATAGTGCTGATTTGGAACTGCCCATTCATGTTCATTATTGGGATACAGAAATTGAATACACTAGCTGCTCTAAATGCTTTGCTAACTCATTCCAAGAATTTTAGATGCCTTGTCAAACTGGATGATCAGGAAGGTTACCCAATGCAACCTCCTATGGAAGGGTTTTCAGATTGTCATGTAGAAAGCTATTGAATGGACTGTAATGGAGTACACAATTTGATCATGTTGATTTAAGTGAGATGATTAACTTCATGATCAAACACAGAAGTCTTGAAGACAGATTTGTCCAATACCGGTTGATCCATTATATCCCATTATGCACATTGTAACACTGCTGCGACCCTATTCTCCTTATCCAGCCGACGTACACACTCTCCCTTCTAGCGCCATACACATCTCTCTAGGAAGTCGGACCATGTGACAAGCATGGAGAGTTGATTGATCATGTCCTGCTCAAGGCTTGCTACCCCTCACTGTTGTACTTACATAGCTGGTACAAAGCTCAATGAGAACAATATTATTGTTGCAGAGGAAGCAAGGCTTCAAGCTGTGGAGGAAGAAAAGAAGAAGAAGCAGCAGGAGAAGCTTGAGGCAGCGGAGAGGAAGAAATTGGAAAATGAGGTTTGGGATTTCACTGGTTTAATTTATCGAATCAAGTGAATGAAATAGTACTTGAAAATTGATATTTTGATGTAGAAAGTTTACTTGAGATTAAACTTTGGCTAAATCCATACTCACTCACTCACTCTTGGTTTGATTGTATTGGTTCACCCAATGCCTGTGTTTATGTACAGGAGAAGAAAGTGAGGAAGATCCAGATGGCGGAACTGGTGGACATTCTACAGGGGAACCGGAACAATTTACAGAGACTGCACGATGACCGCAGGAAGAAGGCCAAGGTCAGTCTATGTATCTTTTTGTTACCTAGTTTATGGGTCCCCCAACCCCCCTAAAAAAAAATCACATATTTTTTAGGATCAAATACTGTATGGTTTTGGTGAAAAAACAAGTAACAGGGGTCTACAAAAATGGAACAGGTTTGATTTTAACGTGTTGATTACATGCAAGCAAGTTTTGATTACATCCATCATCACTGCTTCAAAGGTTTCGTATACACTGTCTTTCCACCACCCATGAATACATACCACTAACGTGCGATGTTGTAAGGACGTGTGTATGTTTTTAAGTCGGCTGATGACTCACTAACTCATTAGGCAATTGACCTTTACCCTACCCTATGACTGAACTGTGTGCGAACCCTGCCATTGCGTTAGATTGAAGCAATGTGTGGATTAGATCACTGCAAGGCTATCACCGGTATGAGAAGTATCCTGGTTTTGTACATTGTAATCCGAGCACTCATTGGTCTGAGCCCTCACTGGCTTCCCTCTCACTTGATCTAGTAAGTGCCTTGAGTTGTTTCCATGCTGCATCTACACCACAAAGTGGTCCTTCCTTCCTTCCACTAGCCTTTATCAAAGCCTAGTTTCCACCCTTGCCATTTCAAGCCTACTTTTCTATGATAAATTATGAGAAGACTATCACATATATAGATAGTCCAATCTGAGAACGTTTTACAAAATCAACATCCGTGTTCCAAAAACATTGTAGCTTTTATATAGCCACCATCATCGCCTGTCGAATGTGCATTCAAATTATTCCCAAAATTAAGCGAAGACTAATATTTTCGAAGTGATTCAAAGTTTTCAAACAACTGGCACAAGTACCTTAATATATTTGGGTTTTTTTTAAATCTCAAACAACTAAATGCTTATCGCAGTGACTGAGATGCAGTGCTATTTTCAGAAGACCCCTGCTTTGTGTTTCATGTTTCCTTGTTGCAGTGTTACTTGATATTGTGTAGTCACACTAGTCTGCCAAAATTTGGCTGTAAAATGTATCGTTACTCAGGATTTTATCATGACTTACAAAAGTAGGGATCCAGGGGACCCTAAAAATTAATTTTAAGGGTTCTTGCAGGCAATATGAGGGTCCTGTAGAGTAAAGAAATGGTAGTATACTGTACGTTTTTGATCGAATGTCACTTTCATCACAAGGGACAACTTGTTTTTGACACGGGGTGTATCCACAATCGAGCCCCAAAAGTAGGCTTGAAGGTGGAAACTAGGCTTTAGGGTTGGCAAGTGGACACTCTTGCTGCGGAAAAGATAAAAGTGGTCATATGTATCCACGTTACGATGGAGGGACGTAGTGTATACAAACCTGGTGACATTGATGATGGGTAAGAGCCTGCATGTAGAGTTGATGACTGACTGTGTTCCAGTGGGCGCGGTACATGAGATGTGATGGCTCCCCAGACCCCACCATCCCAGGAGAGATCAACACCTACATCAACCTCCGATTGGAGGAGACGACTCGCACACTCCCAAAACTTGTACTCAAGGACACAGAACAAGACCTTTCAGTAAGTACATGGGAAGCATCTTGTCCATCATTTCATTGTAGATGCTGGTTATGTTGTAAGGTGCTACACTTAACTTTCAACGCTTATGTCTTTTGATGTCAGTAAGTGAGATACAGTTGAACCTCACATAGTATCTAGAGTGACCGATTGATTTCTTAATTTAAGTCCATGGGCTAACAGCAAAGAAATGTTTTGTTTTTAAGTCCATGAGCTGAAGGGTTTAAGTGGATTTGAGGTAGTAATTTTGGTGGGTGAATGTATGCTACACAGTAGTTTCATACAGTGATTGTGGTCGTTTGTGATTGACCTTAAGAACCATACTCCACTTGTTACGACATTCTGAATGACACCATGTCACAGCCATGTTTGTGTTTCAGCTGATAGCTGAGTTAGAGTACATGCTGGCAGACACCCCAACCGAGGAATTGACAGACAGACAGGTAGCAGAGTACAAGGAGGTAGGTGATACCCTCACATATACAGTCTTTATACATACATGTACAGGCTATATCCTCACATATACAGTCCTTATACATACATATACTCACATACACAGTCCTTATACATACATATACTCACATACACAGTCCTTATACATACATATACTCACATACACAGTCCTTATACATACATATACTCACATACACAGTCCTAATACATACATATACTCACATACACAGTCCTTATACATACATATACTCACATACACAGTCCTAATACATACATATACTCACATACACAGTCCTTATACATACATATACTCACATACAGTCCTTATACATACATATACTCACATACACAGTCCTTATACATACATATACTCACATACACAGTCCTAATACATACATATACTCACATACACAGTCCTTATACATACATATACTCACATACACAGTCCTTTTACATACATATACAGGCCATTTGATCACATACACAGTCCTTATACATACATATGCTCACATACACAGTCCTTATACATACATGCACTCACATACACAGTCCTTATACATACATATACTCACATACACAGTCCTTACACATACATATACTCATTTACAGTCCTTACACATACATATACTCATTTACACAGTCCTTATACATACATGTACAGGCCATTTGATCACATACACAGTCCTTATACATACATTTACTCACATACACAGTCCTTATACAGGCCATTTGATCACATGCACAGTCCTTATACATACATATACTCACAAACACAGTCCTTATACATACATACACTCACATACACAGTCCTTATAGGCTTATACATACATATACAGGCCATTTGATCACATACACAGTCCTTATATATACATATACTCACATACACAGTCCTTATACATATATTTACTCACATACACAGTCCTTATACATATATTTACTCACATACACAGTCCTTATACATATATTTACTCACATACACAGTCCTTATACAGGCCATGTACTCGCATACACAGTCCTTATACATACATATACTCACATACACAGTCCTTATACATACATATACTCACATACACAGTCCTTATACATACATATACTCACAAACACAGTCCTTATACATACATATACTCACATACACAGTCCTTATACATACATATACTCACATACACAGTCCTTATACATACAAGGGATTACAACCTTGACCTATAATAATAGAGATATATGATCTACAGAAGCCCATGGCTGTTTTCATGATCGGGTGGTAATCTCTCTACCTACAGGAGGGGGCGGTCGGGTAGCCTAGTGGTTTAAGCGTTCGCTCGTCACGCCGAAGACCCGGGTTCAATTCCCGACATGGGTACAATGTGTGAAGCCCATTTCTTGTGTCCCCTGCCGTGATATTGCTGGAATATTGCTAAAAGCGGCGTAAAACCATATTCACTCACTCACTCACTCTACCTACAGGAATCTCAATCTCTGAATAAAATGTTAAAATTCAATGGGTGCTCTTACTTTTAAAATAACACTCCATATAATCTGTGCACCCTTAGGAAGGGTAATTTCTTTGTGAAAAACAAAAGATGACAATTCCATCATTTAAGTACATTGTACTGTGTTGGGATCCTAGTCTCCACCACAGACAGAGAGGTTTACTTGGCAATTTGCTTAGTTTCACTGTTCTGTGTAGACCATTGAGGAGATCCAGAAAGTGATCCGGGGTAAACTGGATGGGGCAGGCTTCCATGTACTGTGTGATGCCAGCACGATGCAGGACCCCGAGACGTACAATCTCCAGTTTGTTATCAAGAATCCAGAAATCCAGCTGTGCATCTGGGGAAATCTCAGCAAAAATCCAAGGTAAATCAAAACTTTAATTTTTTTTATTGTTGCCTCTCATATGAACAGTTTAACAAAAACAAGTTTCAGGGTTGTTTATAGCATTTGCCAACAGTGTACATATTGGACAAAAGGGTGTGAAGGACATAAAGCCTGTGTCTGCAGGATTTTCTTTGGCCATCACATAAACATAACATAATTTGTGAACTGGTCTTCATATTACTTCATGCGCCAGCTGACTGATGTGGAAGTCTAAAAATTGATGTGTCTTGGATGATGACATGCTTCTCACTTGATGGAGCAGCCCTGTCATTCACTCTGTTAGGATGCACAGGTGATCCAGTCATCTGAAGTGCAACAATTCGAGGTGGAGAGTCGCATCCCTTGGGCATGCCAGGAACCTATGAGCGTAGGTTCAAGTCCCGGTTTGCCAACGAGGATGTTTCTAGGTTGGTCAGCACTTTACCCGTGGTCGTGGGTTTCACCAAAGTGGTAAACATACAAGGCCTGCATTACTTCCGACTTTCTTCTCACACATTAAACTGACACACAGTTATATAACTGGAATACTGCTCAAAGCAGTGTTAAACCCAAAAATCTAACTCACTCACTCAGTATCTTGACTTTCACCTTTTATCAGAAATGACAAGAGCTTAATTCACTGTATTACTCCTAGGGTGAAGTCTTTTGAGTTCCGTGATGTTGGCATCACCTTTGACATCCCACGTGTGCTCGCTCTGTCGGACTGTGCATTCCGAGTTCTCATGACAAAGTATGACCACTTCTCCATGTACAGCAAGACCTACAGTCCTCGCATGAAGAAGAAAGAAGGTAACATCACCTTGTTTATCATAGTTTCATAACAGGTATCTTAAAAGAATTAACTTTAATGATGAGGACAACTGTTTTCATGATTCTTTTGTGTAAATTTGATGCCCTGTTGAAACTTTCAGAAGTTGTTCCTGAACCAGTTGAGGAAGTAGAAGAAAAACCAGAGGAAGAGGAGGAAAAGAAGGAAGGAGAAGAGGGAGGAGAGGAGGATGCAGAAGCAGGCAGGGAGGACACCGAGGTAATTGCTTCAAATCGGCCAAATGTCCAATATTCACCAAATCATTTGTTTACAATAAAGTTGACAGTTTACTGTAATAACCTGTGAAGGGAGTTTGGTAGGTCTGGGCCTCAAACCAGTGCCACATTTGCCCTATGACAGTTGTATGTCTATGTTAAACTATATGACTTACGACAGTCATAGGGCTGAGATCCCTCCACGGAAGCCACCACATTACTAGTGGAACAACATGGCTGTTCTCTTGCTTCAGGACCTTATGGCACAGCTGAGGAAGATGGAAGCTGGGGAGGAGGAGGAGGAACAAGATACAGAGAAGAAAGAGGAGGTTGAAGAAGAGGAAGAAGACTTTGAAGATCCTCCAACACCAGGTTAAAACAGAATCATAAAGCAGGGATAGACTAGGCCACTAGTCCGTTAGTCCGAGACTAGACAAAATCTAATGGGACAAGTTGTTTTCTCCCCAAATCTTGTTATTTTACATAAACCACAAATCTAAAATGAGCTGTGAACTAGTTCTATATCCACTGCATCTTAGGTCAAACTAATGTCACATATTGAAGTTTGACACCAGGAATTTAAAAAAAAAAATCAAATATTATGACATTACATTAAGTAATACGTTACCACTGTTATACCGAGGCTGTTGTCTCCCACAACTGCTGCTATAGCGAAATCTACCACAGAGATCTCAATTACCTCATGCAGCACGTGCGTAGCCACCTAGCTGCCATGTGACACCCTTCACTCTTGTCTCTTCGCTTGCTCCAGCAAGTTGTACAATAAACTGCTCAAGCGTTCCTGTTTCCCCGACCATTCGGTGATATTTATTACTGTTTATTCTCTCTAATAAACTGTGCTTTTACGGGGCGTTTGCTGTAACTACGCTTGGAAATATTTTCCCGCCAAAAGGAAATATTTTTCCCGCCCTTTTTTTCTATATACTTGCGGGGTGTCTCGTATGCACGTTGCGTCTTACGTTCCCCTGTTCTAGTATATCTTGGGTTTTTTACATCATTTATACCTCTCTATGTTATATGTGTATGTTCTATATTCGCATTGCTCGTTTATTTTCTGGTGAAAATACTCGTTTGTGACTATTTGTGGTGCGTGTGTTGTAACCATGTTTTGCTCTTTGTTCATAGAACAAACAAAATGTCTGACATGGATAATTTGCCGTCCTCCACCCCCTCTACCCCCTCAACCAGGAGCTGCGGGGTGTGCCGCAAGCGAGCGCTACCGGCTGTATGTGCAGTCCGTTTCCACCCCTGCGCGGGTACCATTACCACGGCTGCGGCGGATCCATTGGCGGCCCGTAAGCTGGCGGCCTTATCTCAGGATAGGCCGCTGGCTGTTCCGTCCACCGGTACGGCGGCGGCTCCCGTGGTCACCGGTCCTTCCCCGAACCGTTGCTCCCGCTATCGGTTAAGGACCGCGTGGCCATGGTTTATGACCTCTTTGAGGACATGCCACGGCCCCGGCCGGTACCGCGGGGAATCCACGGCTGTGGGTTCCTCTGAGGTATGCGATGAGTCTTCCGACACGGCTTTCCCCGCATCAACCTTGCTGCGCGGTATCAAGCCTTCCTTGGAGAATGCCTTCGCGGCGACCTCCGGTCGGGGTCTCTGGTTGCCTCCGACGTCGTGGAGAAAGGGTTTATTCCCGGTACATGACCTTGCCTTTCCCGAGGCTGGTCCTACCGCGGAGGCCCATGTTGAGCGGTTGGGTGTCCGTGCCCCAGCGGCTGCTATGGTAACGCAAGCTACCTTGCACCAGCTGGACGCCCTCGCTCAGCACTCCATGCTTGCCATGTCTCACGGAGACACTTACTTGGCTGCAGCGGCCAGTCTGGTCGAAGGTTCTCCCACGGACCATGACCAGCGCATTTACAACTGCCTGCTCAGTTTAAATGCTTCCCTGGAGTACGTTGCCGAGGACTCTCGGCACACACTTGCTCTTGTTGGGTCCCTGCATAGGCGCCTGGGTGCCACTCCTAACCGGAGCGCGCCCCAGGCTACTGGGAGAATTGGGAACAAGTGTTCGACCACCCGTGGGTGGTCAACACGATTCGGTACGGCTATCGGCTAGATCTCAAAGCGAATCCGCCGCTCACCGTTGCCCCGTTGGCAGGTTTCGATTCGGAAACCGATCTTCCCATCCTCGCCGATGCCATCAGCAGGTTGGTGGAGAAGGGGCAGTACGGGAGTTAACTCTACCAGAAATAACACCGGGGTTTTACTCCAGGATATTTCTCGTTCCTAAGAAGGACAGTGCCGAACTCAGAATGATTAACAACTTGAAATCGTTCAACGAGTTCTACCTGCGCAAGCCGCCCAAGTTCAGAATGTTGAGCTTGGCGGACCTGAAAGCACTGATCATGCCGGCCGACTGGCTCGCTTCGATCGACCTGAAGGATGCTTATCTGCATGTTCAGATTCACCCGGATCATCACAAGTATCTCAGGTTTGTCTTTCAAGGCAGGCACTACAAATGGGTTGTACTCCAATTCGGTCTTTCATCCGCTCCCTGGCTGTTCACCCGGTTAACCACCCCCATAGTGGGGTTCCTCCACCAGAGGGGTGTCCGGTACTTCGCGTACCTGGACGACTCGCTAGTAGCAAATCGAATGACGGACACCCTGTCACGCCATCTTGTTTTCGCACGTCGGCTCTTGGAGCAATTGGGGTGGATTATCAATCTCCCCAAGAGCAAGTTAACCCCTTCTCAGAACTTGCAGTTCATCGGAGGTCGGTTCAACACGGTGTCCCATCGCCTCTTTGTCCCCCCAGACCGGTGGCACAAGATTCAGGCGATGATTGCCAAAGTCTTAGCGGTGCAACAGACTGTTCACTTTTGGGAACAGCTGTTAGGGCTACTTGTATCAGCCCAGGACTGCACCAAACGGGGTCGTCTCCAACACCGCCCGCTGCAATGGTTTTTAATCCAGTTGTTAGCAACGGAGATGACCAGTGCGACCGTCGCCCTCCCGGATCGGCTCCGACCGCATCTGGAGTGGTGGACGGTCCCTTACAATGTCTTATCAGGAGTCTCTATGCGGCCCTACCGGGCCACGTTGAACCTGTATACAGACGCCTCTCTAGTGGGCTGGGGCGCCCATCTAGAGGGGGAGGTGAGCTCGGGGCTGTGGTGCGTAGACGAACTAGGTCTTCACATCAATTGTCTCGAGTTCAAGGCAGTGATCAACGCAGTCAATCACTGGAAGCATCGTCTCGTCGACGCCCGGCTCATGCTGGCGACCGACAACACGACGGTAGTGTCCTATGTGAACAAACTGGGGGGAACCCACAGTCACTCGCTACTCGATCTCACGTTTGAGTTTTACGCTCTGGTGGACAGTGTCCAGTGCCAAATAAGCGCCCGTCACATCCCAGGTGTGCGGAACGTACTGGCCGATGCTCTATCAAGGCCTCAGGATCCGAGCCCCACAGAGTGGATGCTGAACCCAGTAGTGTTTCAGTGGCTGTGCGAACGTTTGGGTTGTCCGATGGTCGACCTGTTCGCAACGCGGTTCAACAATCAACTCCCGTTGTTTGTATCACCAGTCCCGGACCCGAGGGCCATCGATCACGATGCTCTCGCGTTAGACTGGACAGGCTTGGACGCTTATGCTTACCCGCCGACAGCGTTAATACCACACATTCTAAGCCGGCTCCGAGGAGTTCGCTGTCGAATGTTACTGATCACGCCCATGTGGCCGAACAGATCGTGGTACCCCGACTTGCTGACCCAGGTCACGCAGTCGCCACTTCCACTGCCTGTGAGACCGGATCTCTTGATCCACCCTCACACCCGTCAGCTTCATCCAAAAGCAGGGCAGTTCAATCTGCACGCGTGGATGTTGTCACCGAGAGTCTGAGGAGTAAAGGTTTTTCTCGCCGGGCGTCTCGGGCATACGTTAGTATGCATCGTGATTCTACCCAGAAGGTGTATAATGCACGTTGGGTTATTTTCACGAAGTGTTGTTGTAAACATCACATTCATTCGCCAGATAAGGTATCTGTGCAGGATATTGCTCGTTTCATGTCTCATGGGGGTTCCATTGCCAACTATGTCTCGTCCGTTGCTACGGTACGGGACGTTGCTATGGGTACCAGTCTCTCCAAAGAGCCGGTGATACGGGGTATTATCAAGGGTTTCAAACAGCACGATCTTAAGAAGGGCCGCCTTCGGGCAGCGGCCTGGGATCTTTCCCTAGTGTTGCAATCACTTACGGACTCTCCGTATGAACCCTTGCATAGTGCTTCGTTCCGGCATGTGACTTGGAAAACAGCATTTCTCCTCTCCTTTGCCACGGCGGCATGTGTATCCGAAATTCATGCACTCGATGTCGCCAAGGTACGATTCGATAGGGGTGACGATGGAGCGGTCCGCCTGGGCCTGCTCATGGGCTTCGTCGCCAAGAATCAGAGAATCGGGCAAACGGAGAGAGAATTCACTGTAAGATCACTCAAAGAAATCTTACATCCTGCTGATACTGAGGACAGAGCGCTGTGTCCGGTTAGGGCCCTTAAGTATTATCTTAAGGCTTCGAATGAACGTAGACAAGGGCGTGACCGTCTGTTCATATCGTGTAACCCTAATCGCACGGTTGACATAACTCGCAACTCGATTGCGTTGTGGCTTCGTTCTGTCATCAATCTGGCGTACCGGTCTCGGGGGTTACCGGTCTCGGGGGTTACTGGTAGCGGGGTCAAACCTCCACGAGATCAATGCCCTAGCGGCAACATTTGCCCTACACTCGAATATCTCTATTTGCAGAATATTACGAGGTTGTTACTGGCGTTCTGACTCGGTTTTTGCCAATCATTACCTCAAACAGGTCGCTGATGCCATCGTGGAGAGTGTGCACCGTCTTGGCCCGCGGATCGCGGCGCAAGCGGGCACCTAAGGGGTGTGCCCAGCGCAATTCCGAACTCCTCAGGCGTCAGACCTTGCACGGTGGTCAATCTGGGTCGACTCCAATGTTCCCACTGCCGTGGGTACAGGAGTTGGGGTCCCGCAAACCAGCGCACTCACACCACAGGTGAGGGCGGCTTTTTGTGTGCTTTGTCCTTATTTGTATTTTGACAATTATGTATTTAATTGTCTGTCGTGTATCCCAACCTTGTGATGCATGCTTACAAATACTGGAATTAGGTCACGCGCCTAATGCATACTTTAAGTAGGCTTGCTCTGGGATATACGGTCTGAATGAAATTAATTTCCCTCTTTTCGACTGTTTAACCTGATCTAAGATTAAGCTCACGCGGATACAGTGTTCTCATCCGCTGCGGCGATGAAATACTTATCCAGTGGGGCCGTTTGGAGTCACCAATCGTTTTGGCAATGACGATTGAGCCTTACGGTATGCGCTTGACAGTGCTTTGGTATTCCTATAGGGTACAACTAGCTAGGTGCATGCGCATCGAGTGCTTCCGCCTTGGTGTTTACTTCCGCTGGTCGGAAGGAACGCTAGCAGTCAGGATTCGGGTTGTAGGTGCTCCCCACCGCCTACTGTGGTAGTCAGCCTCGGTATAACAGTGGTAACGTATTACTTAATGTAATTTGTAGAATTTTCCTATTCGGAATATTCTATAAGTAATACGTTACCACTGGGCTGCTGACCGCCCGTCCATCCCCCGAGCACTTGCTCTCGCAAGAGACAAGAGTGAAGGGTGTCACATGGCAGCTAGGTGGCTACGCACGTGCTGCATGAGGTAATTGAGATCTCTGTGGTAGATTTCGCTATAGCAGCAGTTGTGGGAGACAACAGCCTCGGTATAACAGTGGTAACGTATTACTTATAGAATATTCCAAATAGGAAAATTCTACAAATTTCTGAGAATGAGTCCAATGAATATGGGTCATAAAAGCAACTTAAACATCACATGGTTGATGTTGGTATACATTTTTTTAGTATATCCATTTGTATTCATCTGTGATAATTATTTTCATAAACAATATTCTTGTGTATCAAATAATGTCAGATTCTAATAGTGTTTGTGTTATCAATGTTTATATGTTATTCAGAACCTCCTGAGTGGGAAGACTTCGAGGAAGATGATGATGTTGTTGACCTGAGAGCCTATAACGTCCTGGGCGGAGTTTTCAGTTTTGACCTCATGGCCCTGCCTCCGCAGCCGAAACCCGTTAACAATTGGACTATTACTAGATGTGAGTAAATGGGTAAATTATACATATCAACAGAGTCTAGAATCTCTAGGCATGTTTTCTGAACTGGATGCTTCATGTCAATATGGAACCTGCTAATTATATTCCACTACTATTTCTTTCAATTTGACTAAAAATACAAGATAACCTGATAACATGAATGGACTATCTGGACTCTATTTCAGTGATGAACCCTCCACAGATCCAGCTGATTGATTATGTGGCAGAGCTGCCTTCACTCGCTGCCACCAATGGCCAGACAAAGGACCAGAAGGACACACAGACACAGGAGAAGGACAAACGAGATGAGAAGCCTCCCATAGCTGTCACCATCAAGTAGGTGGAACACAGAAGTATTGAGACTATGACCTCTAATGTCTGTATATCTCCCTAGCCATAGTATTTTCTGCCATTGCCAAGAGAGAGTAAGGTTTTTTACCTATTTTAGAAACATTTCAAGAATCTCACAGCGTGTAACTCCAAGAATGGACATATTGTTCACGTGGGGATCAAACCTTGATACAGACTTTGACCTGTATGATATTACTATAAACCTGTCCTTGATATAACTGCAGCCTGTACTTGAGATGCCTGTTTTTAGTCCCCTGAGGATGTCAACTGACTGACACAACTGTAACCTGACTGACACAATTGTAACCTGACTGACACAGCTGTCACCTGACTGACACAACTGAAACCTGACTGACACAGCTGTAACCTGACTGACACTACTGTAACCTGACTGACACAACTGTAACCTGACTGACACTACTGTAACCTGACTGACACAACTGTCCCCTGACTGACACAGCTGTCACCTGACTGACACAACTGTAATCTACAGCTGTAACTTACTGACAACTGTCACCTGACTGACACAACTGTAACCTGACTGACACAACTGTAACCTGACTGACACTACTGTAATCTGACTGACACAACTGTCACCTGACTGACACAGCTGTCACCTGACTGACACAACTGTAACCTACAGCTGTAACTGACTGACACTACTGTCACCTGACTGACACAACTGTAACCTGACTGACACAACTGTAACCTGACTGACACTACTGTAACCTGACTGACACTACTGTCACCTGACTGACACAACTGTCACCTGACTGACACTACTGTAACCTACAGCTGTAACTGACTGACACTACTGTCACCTGACTGACACAACTGTAACCTGACTGACACAGCTGTCACCTGACTGACACAACTGTAACCTACAGCTGTAACTGACTGACACTACTGTCACCTGACTGACACAGCTGTCACCTGACTGACACAGCTGTCACCTGACTGACACAACTGTAACCTACAGCTGTAACTTACTGACACAACTGTCACCTGACTAACACAGCTGTCACCTGACTGACACAACTGTAACCTACAGCTGTAACTGACTGACACAACTGTAACCTGACTGACACAACTGTACCTGTTGCAGGTTGCCATCAGATGTGATGTTCCAGGAGGAGCCCCAGGTAGTTCGGTGGGATGAAGACAAGAAACACTGGAGGCTGGACGGATTCTCAGACATTGTCTACAATGATGGTAATGCAGGATACACAGATTAGTTTACTTTGTATACCATAGCTTTACTAACTTTACCATTGATTCTCTTCAGATAGCAAGTTGTTATTTCACAGCAGCTTCCAAACAGCCGTTTTCACCTTATTGCATTCCTGATGGAACCAAAGATAGACCATCCACATGAATTCAATATGTGGCAACATGATTAAAAAATTTCATTTGCTGTTTCAGAGAGCCGGACGTTTGGTTTTAAGATGTACAAGTTTGGCATTATGGCACTGATACAGGAGACACACATCAACATGCCATTCCAGTCTTGGGAGCTCCGTCCCCGGGCAGTCAACAAGGCCGTACTCTCCATCATTGCAGCCATTGTGGAGCTGGATATTGAGATAGAGGTCAGGTGTATTTCGTGTAGGATCTCAGTAGGCCATGAAGTCAATGTGTTTCACATCATGTTTGGACCCCCATGGGGATTCCAGGCTAGAGTTGTCTCAAGCAATTTATGCTGTTTGTAAGAAGCCACTTATTGAACTTAATGATCAGACTCGGGGAGTTGGTTTATAGCATGTCGTCGTACCCCAACAGCGTGGACTGTTACTACTAATATCAATCATGGGATTGTCTGGGCCAGACTCTATTACTTCCAGTTTATTACAAGCTGCTGCCACATAGATGGAATGATGTGGCGTGTGGCATTAAACAACTCACAAACAAGACATCAAGTGCGGGGCATTTAAGAAATACATGCTCCTGAATGATTGTTTTAGGGCGTTCATTAAGTTGGGTTTTTTCAACCTTTCCTCGCCTTTACTATGCTACAGTGGATCCTAACAGTAACTTTGAAATCGCATTCTGTCTCAGGAGAAACCAATTCTTTCAAGAGAACCATTTTCTCATAGCCTTCTGTCTCCAGGAAATATTTTAACTGCTTTCTGAAACAGTACAATGAATTGAATTTTTAATTTATAATCCCAACAGTTACATATATAAATAGAACAGATTATGATCATGCGAGTTGTGCATCTGTTACAACTCCAGCTCATGACAATGTTCTGTGAATTTGATTTCCTTGTAGCCTCATGGTGTGACATTATACAATGTGAATGTATTAACGGATTCCATAGTAGTCAAGACAACCACAGGAATCTGAAGTTCTGATTAAACAACTATCAGACTATGGAACACCTCTCTAACTCTCTATGAACATGTAGAGACTATTAAGATTGCTCTGTGACAACAGGTCAAAGGCCCTTTACCCTTTGACAGTTAATCCTGACATGGACAGTTTTTGCCTTCACAATTCACTGTACTGTATTACTTCACTTTTCAGAATTCAATGTGTTGTTTGAGCAGCTCGTTTGAAGATCCAGCATTGAGTCATCTCAAGGGGCAGATGATGACTCCAACAGACTTGATCCAAGTAAAGTGCTTATCTATCTTGTACAGAGTATTAGAATACAGTCATAACAGTTTCAATTTATGTGAGTGGCAGTAAGAACTGGAAGTCGTCATGTGAAGTTTCATTCAAGTTTTCAGTAGCGAGATAGCCTAGTGGTTACAGCATTCAGTGTGCGAGCTTAGCCTCAATTTTGTAATTGATATCTTTTCCCGTAAAAACCAAGCCTCGTTCTCAAGTGCGACCTACAAACAGTAAATACAATTTGCTAGCAGATGACATATTCACTCTATAGTCTCTGTCAACTGGAGTTTTTAAACAGAGGTTTCTACTGAAACAACTTTTTTGTACTTTTATTAGCTTTCCATGTTACAAAATATATTCACTGGATATTAATGCTTTTCACCTGGATAATAAGGTTTATTCATTTCATGATGAGGATCATCTTTTTTTAAATTGTCCCAACTGTATGCATACCTGACAAGGACGACATTGGCTACCATTATGTTACGATGTCTTACATTTTTCTCAGGAGGAATGCCATTATTTTTTCTTTTGTTTCTATTTTTTCTGACTTGTTGGATGGCATAAATGCACATATATTCACAAGATGCAAAATTCTACTAGCGTTTAAACTTCTATATAATATCAATGCATACACAAGCCTTATTGGTATAAATGTACTCTTGATATTTTCCACTTGAAAATTCATTAGTTATAGAGGTGCCAGAATTCCAATATGTTCATACCTTTCTTGACAAATCTCCAGTGGTGTCACTTGGAAGTCGCATCATGATAAATAGTAAGTAAGAGACTGGTGTTCCAAGTGAGTTCCAAGAAAATAACAGTTGAAACACACAATTTAGCCATGACCGAGCATAAAAATGCAATAGCCAAGGTATAATCCAAAAGTAATCGTCCACCACAACAGTAAAAGAAGTATACTGCTACAGCAGACGATAGGTTTGAGCCAATCATTTTACTGATAGAGGTCACGTGACTAAAATCTTGACAACTTCCGGTGGTGTGAAGGGTTACTTTCCCTAATTAAAACTAACAAACCAATACATATTTGAGATTTAAGTTCTGATTTATTTAAGTGCAAATGTCTGTTGAGTGTGATAACACTGACAAACTATGTCCAGACAGCTTAAGACAGAGGGCCAAATGTCAAACACCACAACCTGTAAACCATCAGTTTAGACCCTTGACACACAAATTAGTCCCTCAATGACATATCAGTCAACTCAAATTTAAACAAACGGTGTTAAACTGCCCTAAAGTAACATATCTGTCACTAGAATGTGATGCTATCAGTAAGATGCCAGATTTATTTATGTTTCTGGCCGCTCTGTGTGGGACTTCTTGGTCACTTCGGGGGGGGGGGTGGGGTGGGGACTGGGGACTGTCTTTTATCCAATTAAAAACATGTTTACATTTGTAGCTCCTCCTGTTTTAAGTTGGATATAGTAAGCTTAGTGATCAGTGATTGCAGGAAACATAGGAATTGGCCCCTCCTCCCTTTAAGATAGATGGAACCCATATTTTTGTGAATGACTTCTACCCTGTGAGAGAATATTTTGAGGTCACGTGACTTCAATAAACATGTTCTCACAGCCTCTACAGTGCATGGATGGGTTATATTTAGGTATTATTTTGGTAAATTGACATATGTGGAAATGGGAAATATATGAAAACATTACATGTACATATAGGATTTGTAATAAAAGGTTTATATGAGGTAGGTGTAGAGCCCAGGATTTTTCACTTCCTGTGACAGGGGCTGTGACGTCACTATGGGGCCTTTAGCATTGAATCTATTTATAACCTGTGTGAAAGCGAGGCTTGGTTTTCATCTATTAGCGGTAACATAGCCTGAGCTCGCACACTGATTGGTTAGTTCATCATGCAAGAGACCCAATTTCCCACATGGGGGGGGGATGTGTGAAGCCAGTTATCTGCCACCTTGGTTGAAGTAGTGCTGTCAGTAGTGTTACACCAAACTCACTTAGTTTTTGGAATCAGACCCTAGTTTGGGAGTTTACCTTATTGCATGCTGTGAACATCTTCCTGAGGCAAGGGAGTTAACTGACAGTAAAAGTCCACTTTCCACACTTGCAAAACTAGACTGGAATTTCTGGGCTCGTTCTTGCCTCCACCAGTGGCTATAATGAGTTATGTCCCTTCTATGTCCCTCCCATTGACCAATCAGATTCCACCTCCTCATATCACTTGCATTTGCTTCAAACCAAATGGCGGCGCCCAGTCAACACGATCTGATCGGTAATAGAAATCTATGTTCTGATAAAACGGGTCTTACTTCGTGAAGTGTATCAAAACATGTGAGCACTTGGATTAAAAACATCAAAAGATTTGGAAAATATCTGTTGACACCGAGTTGGCGGTACAAATGCTTTGCAAATCCTGCAAACAGCCTAAATCTGCACACCAGTTTACTAACCAGATGTCAATGTCGCTAGTCCAGCCAAAATATGACTAACTCCATAATTCAAGCCAAGTTCAGCAAGGGTGGAAACTGGACTTTTATAGTCAGTTAACTCCCTTGCCACGAGAAGATGGCTGTGAAGGGTGATTAAACTTGTTAGGATTGAACATGTGTGAGGTATTTAGCATAGACATACATAGGTTATTAACTGACACTCAAGCTCCAAGTCAATATGTACTCATTGTCTGCATAATTCACACACCCTCTCTATACAGGTGTGAGTTTTAGAGAAAAATAGTGTGTATCAAGCCTGTCTCTCTCAGCTTTCTGGGGTAACAGATGGCAGCTGACTAAACAACTGAAGCAATCGAAATTCTTTGTAATGAAAGTACTCAACCCAATATATGTCCTTGGTGCTCGTCACAGTTAAACCAAAGGGTGCTCACATGGATACTGAGATAATGGGGGATGCTGAAAACATTCAGTCTCTGGATATGACCGTTACACCACAGTACCACCATCCATTCCATCACAATAATATACATGGTAGTGTACAGTTTAATTAACATGCATGCATAACATGCGTACCAGCAACCATTCCATCACAACAATATACATGGTAGTGTACAGTTTAATTAACATGCATTCACCACATGCATACCACCATCCATTCCATCACAATATACATGGTAGTGTACAGTTATATAATTAACATGCATTCACCACATGCATACCACCATCCATTCCATCACAATATACATGGTAGTCAATCTCATAAAAATCAGATCTTAGTTCTCGCTACCGCTAAACAAAGATCTGAGGACATCCCATTACAGGTCATGTCAGACCGACCTTGCGCGAATTTTGATCGACAAATGGAATGACTGAGAAGAAGTCGACATTAGCCAATCAGAAGGCAGCTTACTCATGCTTTACGGCACTAATTTCAAATTGGCGACTACGCTTCGATTAAAATTCTCCATTAACATTCTGGAATGGCGAATAGATGGTCTAGATTGTATCGAACTATCGTTCGGAATACCCCGTGTAAAATGTTTTCGAGGATGCATGATTAGAAATCACATTCCGACTGTCACTTTCATGATCTGGTAAGCAACGCTGTTATTGGTCGGATGAAAGGTCGTTCTGACGTGACCCCTAATGGGATGTCCTCAGATCTTTGTTTAGCGGTAGCGAGAACTACAATCTGATTTTAATGAGATTGCATGGTAGTGAACAGTTCAATTAACATGCATTCATTCAGTGAGGGATCTATGATTTGGCTACATTTGTAATGGGAGTGCTTGTAAGTGAAGTGAAGTAAAATGGGGTTTAACGTCGCATTCAAGATTATTGCACTTATACATGTATAGGGACGTGCATGCCATGTGTGGCTGCTTGTACTTGTCCTGACTAATGCCGATTTTATATTACTAGCCTACTGAAATACCATGCTGCAGTTGAACATGAATACCCCACTCAGACAGTGTATTCTGACTCCGAGCTTACCAGTCCTTGTTTTAGCCTCTTTATCATCATTTGGTGTGACGAGGTATGGTATCGAACCCCAACCTTCCATTCTCTGAGCGGGCGCTCTACCACTAGGCGGTCAGGATTGCTTGTAAGCAAATATAGTACATTCATGAGAAATGACACTGTGTGTGTCGTTGATGTATACTCATGCTTTCCACCTGACTTGTTTCCAGAGTTTGAGGAAAGCTGGTGTGAATGTCTTCCCCTCTGAAGACTCCTCCAAGTACGTCAGCATCCAGAACAAGGTAGGTGCTGCTGAACCAGTACAGATTAAGTTATCATTATTTAAACAAGAACTTAGAATGATGTGTCAATATATTTCCTTTGTTGAATTGAATAGTTCATCTCAAGGACTGTGTCAACCCAGTTCACTTTGTGCATATTCACCTTCTGAACCCGTCCGAGAAAGTCCAAGTTGTATTGTCTTCAGCATAGTGTGGTAATAAATCTCAATTCCTGCTCAACCCTGATGATGCCTGTACATGTTCCAGCATGCAGTGTTGGAGTCGCGGACGTATGAGCAGATAGCTCTTACTGCATCAGCCATGGCGTACTCCTGGTCCAAGTGGAACCAGGACAAGGAGAAGGACCAGATAATCTTCCAAGGCTCCGAACATCTCAACAATGAGCGGTTGTTGGAGGTCTAGTTTGCCACACATCATTCTTAACTCTACTTCACTCTATATCTTGTGGTCATAATTGCGAAACAATACATTCAGATAAAATGTCATCCTAAAGGATTAGGAAAGTAAAATTGGGCACAACTGGTTTTGTTTGTTTGTTTGTTTGACGCCGCACTCAGCAATATTACAGCCATATGACGGCGGTCTGTAAATAATCAAGTCTGGACCAGATGATCCAGTGATTGATTGACATAGAACATAGATCCATGCAATTGGGATCAATGACATGATCAACTAAGTCAGCGAGCCTGACCACCCTATCCCGTTAGTTGCCTCTTACGACAAGTTTAGTTGCCTCTTACGGCAACTTTTTTTTATTTTGATCATTGTTTTCTACATAAGAACAAGTCCCCTGATGAGGATTTAGGTTTGTGATAAGTCCCATTTTTTACATACATCTTGTCCAGTGTTCTTCACAGTATTCTAGGACAACCATCCCAACATGTATATTTATTTGTTGCAGGAGGACTGGACTCTGTTCCAGGCTAGCAAGAGACAGGTGAAGCAACTTACGATGACAGAGTTTGATGAGGTGTTCAGCGAGGAATCAAAACATCCAGGAACTGTAAGTAGAAATTTCCTCACTTACAAGTGTTCCCAAAGTATTAATTATTGCTTTTGGGATGACCAGTGTACTACACTATACAGTACACACTATTTTAAACTGATTACACACTCAAATTTACAGCTAAATGGTTCTAGTTCCCTGTTTGCACAGGCATGGTAGGTTAGAAAAATGCCAACAGCAAAATTCAACCACCAGAAAAACATAACCTTCTGTCTATACTACACAGGGTTGCTCAACTTTTCTGTTATCTTATTTTGTTATCCTGTAATGATTTTGCATTCAGGCTTCGTTGATAGCAGGATTGCTTGATAGGAAACAAGTCTTGCACATCAGAATTGTTGACATGTCATTCTGCTGGTGTTTAGCTGAAGTAATACTGGGAAGATATTCACTCACTCTTTCATGGCGTTGCTTGTGTACTTCCAGTTCAAGTCAAATCTGTACCATCTGATTGTGGACACAGCGTCCGAGGAAGCAAGGGACAGGATCTTCAACTCCAGCTATGAGTTTGTGGATTGCGTTAAACAGTTACTGGAGGCAACCAAAGTACTGACTTACTCGTAAACTCTCATTGTTAACTACTTCAAGCAGAGCTCTATGTGCTCAGAATCAAACATCTAAATGAAAACAGTATCACAAAACGATTGCATCTTCCTAACATTGACCATGTCTGAGGATTCAAAGTATTCTTTGATGTATCACAACACTGAAAACTTGTCACGTCTCACAAAATGAAGAACTTTCCATTCGATACATATATGTTCAGTGGGACTTGTTTATCACGTGATGAAACTGGACAGATTGTATCAGTCAGTGCAGAACAATAAATATTTAATATTGAGCTGTCATGGGTGACTTTTTCACTTCAATAATAAGACAGAAATACATTTCATATAGTATTATTTGTACATATCATGTTTAACTGTATAAAGTTCACAAGTTGATATGATCTTGACTTTTGTTTTCTTTTATAATAAGTTGTTCCGTGGCGGGTGTTGGTACCCAATGAATATGTCTGTCACTGGCCAAAGGAATGAGCAATTCTTGAAACATTATATAATCATACTTCTGTTGCTGAGCATCGGGCATTTGGCAAAATACTGCAGTCAAACTGCACAACCACTGTTACTCTTTCTCCAACTGTTACACCATCCCACATCAAGTCACTCGCCTAAAGCTGTCGATTCACGTTATTTGTACCATGTCCTGTAGCGCAACCAACTTGGCAAACACTCCATTGCATGGCTTGCAGTTGCTGCAGTCTGCTAACATCACTGGTGGAACCATTAGTTTCAACTTTTACAATAAAAAAACACCAGCTCACAATAACCAGTGCCAGAGAACTTCAGCTGTTCTTAAATGGGTTCGCTTGTCCCCACATAGCACTTGTGGAATGTTTACTGGGGTAGTGTCACTTGACTAATCAGTCAAATTTATATAAAACACAGTTTTGCCCTGAACAATTAAACATCAATGCATTCGATTGCATGCGTCCTCATCTTTAAACTATAGTTTAGGCCCAAACTATACTTTATTCTATTTCTTAAATACATGCCTTCCTTCTGCAATATCTTATGGATAAAACAATAAAAATTGTAATACTCTCTGTCCTAGGAGTAAAGGATCCAGACTAATGAATACTTACCAGTAGTACGTCACCAAAATCAAATGCTGTAAATCTGGAAATTAATGTGTCTCCAAATTAATATGACTGCTGACCCCTAGCCAAAAATGCGACTTGATATCAATGTGACTCCCCAACCCATCCCCAGTGAAAAGATACATATCCTTACCTTAATCCAATCAAACAGCAAATAGCACTGCTTTTTAGCACTGAGTAGAGCACTTCCGTAAAAACAATAAACTGTGTTTTCCTAAAAACATCACACAGTTTATATGTTTACTCTGTTGACTGGCATTAAGGAAGTTCAAAGACAATAAAATAATTGAACCAACAACAGTTCACTGATTGGTATGAGGAGAAGGTGTCAACAAGCTTGACACGAGTCGGAAGAACTCTTGACCCCAGCAGAGATAACTCACCAGAAGCCTAATGTGTAATTCCTATTCTCTGAATGACTTTGTAATATGTATTGTTACAACTACTGCTCAATAACTGCTGCTACACACCGAACAACACTACAGACCACCCTAAATCTTAAAACCGCACTTACACTAGAATCAATCCTAAATCCACAAAATAAATTAGAAAAATTCAAAGCCTTAGGCATATACCTAATTAAAACAGGACTAATTAGTCGCATTTAAACCCCAAATAAAATATTAAAAACAAAACTACCTAATCAAACAACCACCCAACACACACAGCTCCCTTAGTTCGTCCTCCACCCACTCTTGGCATTCATTCCAAATCTCAAAATCTCAAAATTACTATATAAGCAACCCCTAAAGCCCCCCTCCCGGGTTGCACAAACTCACTTTTCCCCTTTTCAGAAACACAATAAATGGCCTGGCGGGGCCCGTGTGCGACTGGGAGGCTCACATCCAAAACCTAAAAACTAGATGCAGCAAAGACCTTAACACACTAAGTATCTCACCGGCTCTAACTGGGGAGCCTCCAAAGATACTCTCCTCTCACTCTATACAGCACTAATTAGATCAAAACTAGACTACGGCTGTGCCATATTCAAAACCCTAAACAACTCTCTATCTAAAAAACTTGACTCAATACAATACCAAGCCCTTAAACTAATCACACGCACCCAACATGGCACCTCCTACACCTCACTTCAGGCCCTTACAGGGGAAATGCCACTAAATCTACGCAGGGAACATCTAAGCCTTAATTTCTGGGCTGCGTCCCAAACAAAACCTCTCATCCAAAACTTAATTAACCAAACTTAGCCCAAGAAACCAAGCTCTAGCTCGCAAACACCCCTTACTCACCCCAATATCCCAAAGAATAACGAACTACCTCAATGAACACCAAACCCAAATCTTAAACAAAACTGCAAAAAAACAAATATCTTCACCCCTAAACTCAAAATACCCAATATAGACACAACGCTAGCTAACCAAATAAATAAACAAACCGACCCAAACATAGCTAAAACCACCACACTTGCATACATACACGAAAATTGGCCAAAATGGTGTCACAAATACACGGACGGATCTTCAGACCCAATCTCCAACCACACAGGCTTCGGAGTCCATACCACACAACCAGTTAAATCCACACAATCTTACTGACTCCCTAACAACCAATCTATATTCACGGCCGAACTTATGGGCATGGCCTCAGCCCTGCATAACCAACAATCTAAAAACAACAATAAAATCCTAATTCTCACCGACTCCCTTAGTGGACTACAAGCCCTCCAAAACAAAAATACCAAAAACCGACCTAAATTAATAAACCAAATACTTAAAAGCGCCAACGACCTAACAAAAGCAGGAAAACAAATAACCTTCTTGTGGATCCCCGCCCACGTAGGAATTTACGGCAACAAAGCGCCGGTAAAGCAGCTAAATTATCTCTCAAAATACCAGAAATAAGCCTAAACCTACCCATCTCAAAATCAGAAATTAAAAGTGTAAACAAACAAAAAATTACCAAAAAATGGCATAATCAATATCAAAACTCAAATAGCCAAATCAAAAAAGTAATCAGAAAACCACTAGCCAAACCTTAAATCCTACACCCCTCTAAAAAAATTGACAGTTAATTACCAAACTCCAAACAGGACACATGAACCTAATTAACCACCTAAAAAAACTTAAAAGACACACCACAGGCAACTGCCCCCACTGCAAACAACCCGAAACCACAGAACACGCACTCATCCACTGCACCCACTACCAAACACACAGAACCACACTACAATCCAACCTCAATCTATATAAGGCTCCTATTCTAGATCTAATTAAGCGCATCTAAAAACTCATTAATCTACCAATCCAAAATCCAATAAACATACAAACACCCACCTCACCCAGCTCCCTCAGTTCCCTCCTCCACCAACTTCGGCATTTATTCCAAATTTAAAAATTCCCCAAATTCAATATAAGAACCCCCTAAAAGCCCCCTCTTGGGTTGCACACACCACTTTCACCCTTTTTGCAATACACTAAATGGCCCGGCCAGGCCCATGTGCGAAATACGCTACAGTCGGAAAGCGCACGTTAAATCTCCTATATCAGTCAGTCAGTCAGTCAGTCAGCCGTGTGCGACATACGATTGCAGTCGGAAAGCGCATGTTAAATCTCCAATATAAGTAAGTAAGCTCAATAAACAGTTTAGTGTGTATATTCAAGTTGGTATTTCTGCCTTCCAAAGTGAGCAGTAAGGCCGTCTTATTGTTGATAGTCATTTGGAGACATAAATGCAAAGTTAATTAATGCGAGCAAAGACCACTCGAATTTTCGCATTTAATTCACCCTCGCGTTAATTTCAAGATTTACAGTATAACTTTTTCAAACAGAAAAGAGTTTGCGAGTACTTAAAAAGCACAAGCAGCCACGTGAATGCCAGACATGATTACAGACATTTCCAGTATAAAACTACTACAGCCTCAAGCCGGATGCAATTACCTTGTATAATGGAAAACAGCAGGCAAATGAATTTCAAGTCTAACTACATTACTTGTCTTAGAAAACACATGGCCTAATACCTGAAAGTCCTATTTCTCTGTGCTTTACTTCAGGTCTCATGCCCATCTTCAAAGTCACATGCCAAAGACTGGCTACCTTTATAAGTGTATTTGCATTTATGATTTATTGACCTTGACCCTCAATTCAGCCAATCACATGCTTCACTTGTTGGAAATGTCGTGATAACTATAATTATAAACCTCTGATGACGTCACACTACAGTAACAGAAAGTTCTTCAATATGTTGGTAAACTTTCAAGGCAAGCAATATCAACAATGCCCGGGGCGTTCCGGTAGCATGCCTGGGACCTGATGAATACAAATCAGTTCTAATACCTAGGTACCTAGGCATTACAATAACTGTTTCATGAACTTGTCTCTTGATGAGAACACAATTGTGTTTGATGATTAGATTAAAAGTCACTTCTCTTTTTTTCAACATTAAAATTCCATGAATTGAACCTGCAACCTACTGTTTTTGCACTGAGTTACCGGGGCAGTTTATCATGTCATGACTCTAGCTGGTCCATTGCTTCGAGCAAATTCCTTTTATACCACAATATTCTCTACTGTTTGACTATAAGGTATGTCAATGTTTTCTTATTTTTTCTGGTATTACTTGCATTTAAACGGTTTATAAGTTGGATAAAACCACCCCCATGGTTATGGTGGAAAATGTAAAACCTTGACCTCGATCGCAGTTTTACATTTTTAACCAAAACCTTAGGTGTGCCTTGTACAATACTTAACATGTCATACCACCACGGGGGGGTGCAACTCAAAACCTTGCCACTTCATTGCCTCACTCTCATGATGATGTGTACCAAACTTGCCACAACGAAAATATGACATGCTACACACAAGAAGTAAGCCGACTTGACCTACTACTACTTTCATTATACTGTCATCACTTATCATCATGGTCATGTAGATGTATTCACATCTTGAATGACAACATGTATTACTATAAGACTCTAAAAAATATTGCAGTGAAAGTAAGATCACCTTCACTGGGACTTTGACTGTAGATCACTCATGATGTTTCTGATTGTTGCCTTGCCCTTACAATGACATACCAAGTTTCATTGACCTACAACAATATTACACCTAAGTCAATCGCTTTTCTCAGATATGGTTGGTTGGTTGGTTGGTTGGTTGTTTAACGCCGCACTCAGCAATATTACAGCTATATGACGGTGGTCTGTAAATAATCGAGTCTGGACCAGACAATCCAGCGATTAATATCATGAGCATCGATCCACGCAATTGGGATCAATGACATGCATCAACCAAGTCAGTGAGTCTGACCACCCGATCCCGTTAGTCGCCTGTTACGGCAAGCATGAAGACCTATTCTACCCCAGGTCTTCACGGGACTTTCTCAGATATGACCTTGACATGATAGATAATGTCAGGGCTAAGAAGGATGTCTCTTTGGTAAGATATTCATGAGGTGTCAATGCACTGCATGGTCTCGAAAGAACTATGGCACTTAATGTACATGGGACTGTATAATGATGCATTGAGGATTCTTTCTTTTTTTTCAAAACATGTCGCCATTCATTACTATGTTGAGCTATAAATACACAAAAACAATAAGTTTCAATAATTTTATTAAATTATCCTAGTTTTGCAAACCAAACAGCCTCATGAAGGAGAGTTCACATTAGGCTGTGGGTCAGCTTTCTGTGAACATCAGAAAACAGGCCGCCAGTTTCACATACAACAGTCTCATATTTACAGTTACCACACGCTCTTCAGTGATGTCCACAGTGTCAGTTGATTGTAAATCGAGAGATCTGACAAAACTCCATGAGCAGAAGCTGAGTTTTTAACTGGTTCCAAATATTAGCCTAATTTGGCAAAGCTTTTGTTTTAAAGAAGTGACACATTTCACATCTAAGACATAGTTCAACATCCTAAAGCTGATGAGTTTCATGACACAACGGGAGGCGGGACTGGGTCGGCAAACTCCCCGAGGGCCTCGTCATAGTACGCATTCATCCGGAAGGGCTTCAGCTCAAACGGAGCCCGATCCTCCAGCCTCAGCAGGTTGACGCCGAGATCTTCAAGTGTTGGGTTTCCGGTCAGTATGTCGGTGACATGATCCTGCAACAACATGTGAACCAGCTGCAGGAAGTGAAGGAGGTGTGATGCCCTAGCCAGTAATGTCACCAGTACAGCAGCAGGCATGGAAGTAACTATACCTGCACCAGACAAACCAGTTGTCCAGTGTGATGGGTGAGCAACAATTCTCATATTCAGGCACAGGCACAATAACCCATTCAGCCTGGGTCCAATGGCAAGGTACTGGGGCTCTATTCTTACTACCGGTACCCTGAATTGCAGTGTTAGTGTGGGACTTCAGCCACTAGTCAAATGAATTTCTATCTGGAAGCTCTACTGGTCATTATTTTTAACAAAGAGTACTTATGCCTATGTGATGGCAAATACAAGAAAGGATTATTAAATAACTAAATTTCTTTGGCACAGACTGCAGATAATGTTCTTCTTGAATTAGTATAGAAGGCCTTTTAGTCATTAGCCATCACCAGCAGTTAACACATACTAATTATATTTCCAAAACAAACATACACTTGTATAGAGTTTCACTGCAACCTACCTTCTCGATTTTCTCCATGGTGTAGATTGGTGTTGCTGGAGCCATGGACATAGCCATTGTTTTCATTCTGAAATGCAGATATTTCTTTATGACACCTAGAAATACTCATTATATGAATTCCAACTTCAGTAGTATTTGTTAAGAAAATCTTGCCTCAGTAACAGACAATGACATAACCATGATCTACAGAAAACTCAATGCTGTCCTTCACCTTTGATGTTTCTTGACCAAAAGCTTTTTAAAGTGTCCCCATCCTAGAAAAAGGCACATACCAAGTTTATCTTTTCAAAGATCCCAGGTTAGGCATATACCAAGTTAACTGATAAAAGCAATAATACTTTTGAGGGTCTACAATGAACCCTTTTGCTATCTCTTAACCTCTGACTTTCTCATGGGCTATTTGGAAGGATATCCTCTCACATCCTAATCACTGCAAAAATAGACATAATAAAGATCACTGGCAGTGACGGCAATGAATGAAAAGACCCACTTCCTGGAGATGATTATTATGAGATATGAGAGGCAAACATACCTGAAAACTGGAGAAAGATATGACCTCTTGAAGTTCTGGAACCTCATGCATCGGTAGAAATAGTCCACTAAATCAGCCAGATAGTAGCGATGAGGCCTGTGTATACATGCAAAACATACACAAATGACATACAAAGTTTCAAACATACTTGTATCTTCATAAAATGTTACCAGGACAAAGTCTATTTCAAAGCGTCACACATATCAAAGGACATGATCCAAAGAAGTGAAATACTTCAGCATGTGATACGAGAGCACACACTAACCCAACAGCGTCGTATGTTTGCCACATGACATGAGAACACACTAACCCAACAGCGTCGTATGTTTGCCACATGACATGAGAACACACACTAACCCAACAGTGTCGTATGTTTGTCACATGACATGTGAACTCACACTAACCCAACAGCATCGTATGTTTGCCACATGACATGAGAGCACACACTAACCCGACAGCATCGTATGTTTGTCACATGACATGAGAACACACACTAACCCAACAGCGTCGTATGTTTGCCACATGACATGAGAACACACACTAACCCAACAGTGTCATATGTTTGCCACATGACATGAGAGCACACACTAACCCAACAGCATTGTATGTTTGTCACATGACATGAGAACACACACTAACCCAACAGCGTCATATGTTTGCCACATGACATGAGAACACTCACTAACCCGACAGCGTCGTATGTTTGCCACATGACATGAGAACACACACTAACCCAACAGCGTCATATGTTTGCCACATGACATCAGAACACTCACTAACCCGACAGCGTCGTATGTTTGTCACATGACATGAGAACACACACTAACCCAACAGCGTCATATGTTTGCCACATGACATGAGAGCACACACTAACCCAACAGCATTGTATGTTTGTCACATGACATGAGAACACACACTAACCCAACAGCGTCATATGTTTGCCACATGACATGAGAACACTCACTAACCCGACAGCGTCGTATGTTTGCCACATGACATGAGAACACACACTAACCCAACAGCGTCGTATGTTTGTCACATGACATGAGAACACACACTAACCAAACAGCATCGTACGTTTGCCACATGACATGAGAACACACTAACCCGACAGCGTCGTATATTTGTCACATGACATGAGAACACACACTAACCCAACAGCGTTGTATGTTTGTCACAGGACACGAGAGCACACACTAACCCAACAGCATCGTATGTTTGCCACATGACATGAGAACACACACTAACCCAACAGCGTCGTATGTTTGTCACATGACATGAGAACACACTAACCCAACAGTGTCATATGTTTGCCACATGACACGAGAGCACACACTAAACCGACAGTGTCGTATGTTTGCCACATGACATGAGAACACACACTAACCCGACAGCATTGTATGTTTGTCACATGACATGAGAACACACACTAACCCGACAGCATTGTATGTTTGTCACATGACATGAGAACACACACTAACCCAACAGCATCGTATGTTTGTCACATGACATGAGAGCACACACTAACCCAACAGCATTGTATGTTTGTCACATGACATGAGAACACACACTAACCCAACAGCGTCATATGTTTGCCACATGACATGAGAGCACACACTAACCCAACAGCATTGTATGTTTGTCACATGACATGAGAACACACACTAACCCAACAGCGTCATATGTTTGCCACATGACATGAGAACACTCACTAACCCAACAGCGTCGTATGTTTGCCACATGACATGAGAACACACACTAACCCAACAGCGTCATATGTTTGTCACATGACATGAGAACACACACTAACCAAACAGCATCGTACGTTTGCCACATGACATGAGAACACACTAACCCGACAGCGTCGTATGTTTGTCACATGACATGAGAACACACACTAACCCAACAGCGTTGTATGATTGTCACAGGACACGAGAGCACACACTAACCCGACAGCATCGTATGTTTGTCACATGACATGAGAACACACACTAACCCAACAGCATCGTATGTTTGTCACATGACATGAGAATACACACTAACCCAACAGCATCGTATGTTTGTCACATGACATGAGAACACACACTAACCCAACAGCATCGTATGTTTGCCACATGACATGAGAACACACACTAACCCAACAGCGTCGTAGGTTTGTCACATGACATGAGAACACACACTAACCCAACAGCGTCGTATGTTTGTCACATGACATGAGAGAACACACTATCCCGACAGCATTGTATGTTTGTCAAATGACATGAGAACATACACTAACCCAACAGCGTCGTAGGTTTGTCACATGACATGAGAGAACACACTAGCCCGACAGCATTGTATGTTTGTCACATGACATGAGAGCACACAATAACGTCGACAGTGTCATATGTTTTGTCACCTGACATGAGAGTACACACTAACCCAACAGCATCACATGTTGGTCGTATAACATGAGAGCACACACTAATGCCGACAGCATCGTATGTTTGTCACATGACATGAGAACACACACTAACCCGACATGCGTCATATACTTGTCACATGACATGAGAACACACACTTACCCGACAGCGTCGTATGTTTGTCACATGACATGAGAACATACATTTACCCTATAGCGTCGTATATTTATCACATGACACGAGAACACACACTTACCCAACAGCGTCGTATGTTTGTCCCACAGAATCAGGGTTTCTGATGGCCTGGATTACTGCTTCCGCCACATCCGATACCTGCAAAAAAACCTCTACAATAACAGCACATCAAGATAAACATACTAACCAAGAGCTACTTTAAGCATTCATTAAGCTGACATGTAAATACCTAGAGAGATCCAAGCTATCCAGAGCTGACATGTAAATACCTAGAGAGATCCAAGCTATCCAGAGCTGACATGTAAATACCTAGAGAGATCCAAGCTATCCAGAGCTGACATGTAAATACCTAGAGAGATCCAAGCTATCCATTGTTGACATGTAAATACCTAGAGAGATCCAAGCTATCCAGAGCTGACATGTAAATACCTAGAGAGATCCAAGCTATCCAGAGCTGACATGTAAATACCTAGAGAGATCCAAGCTATCCAGAGCTGCCATGTAAATACCTAGAGAGATCCAAGCTATCCAGAGCTGACATGTAAATACCTAGCGAGATCCAAGCTATCCAGAGCTGACATGTAAATACCTAGAGAGATCCAAGCTATCCAGAGCTGACATGTAAATACCTAGAGAGATCCAAGCTATCCATTGTTGACATGTAAATACCTAGAGAGATCCAAGCTATCCAGAGCTGACATGTAAATACCTAGCGAGATCCAAGCTATCCAGAGCTGACATGTAAATACCTAGAGAGATCCAAGCTATCCAGAGCTGACATGTAAATACCTAGAGAGATCCAAGCTATCCAGAACTGCCATTAACATTAACTCAAAAGAAGTTTGACAGACTTACAATAGGAACATGAAAGAATCAGGTGGCCCTTGACTTCTTTTGAATAGTATATGAAAGGCATGGGGAGCAAGCAGATTATAGGAGAAACCTGCTGGCACTATCCTTGTGGCCAGCATTAGAAATTCTACAAGAGCCATGTTGCTGTCATTCATTTACACAAGATCATACAGCCAAGCTAATGTAACATTGAAATATGGCTGAACAAGTATCCTTCTTATTTGAACAATCCGACTGATTCATAATCATGCATAAGACTTACAAAAACAGGCTGCTTGATGGTGGCATCTCCTTTGTGCCACAAAGGCATGGTGCCACGAGCTCTCCTCCCTGCAAAATAGTACCAATACCGATACACTAAATCTCAGGCTAACAACCTGCACGACAAGCAACAACATGAATCATGTTTCCATTTAATGATAATGTTTCTTTGCTGTTACAGTCGAACCTTGTTGTGTCCAACTCATGGGGACCTTGAGAAATGTTTGAGTTATCTGGGGACAACCAACAAAGTGAATTTTCAAAAAACAAACAGATGTTATAAGAGATTATTACCAGGTCTGGACGCAACAATAGATTTCAAGGCGTATGTAAATTTCAGTGCCCAGGCTGCGTCAACTCAGGCCCATCATTGATCCTACTGACCCCATCAAGATTGACTTCACTGTTTAAGTCTTAGCTCGAATAATAGATTCACTAACATTAATCTTATTGATCTGTTTTACTCATTTTTCAATTTTCATGTGTCGTCAGCAGTCAAGTGCTTTTAGCAATATACAACAACATCACGGCAGGGGACACCAGAAATGGGGCAGTCAAGTGAATATTAACAGGGAATTTGACACATCCAGTTCAACAGATCCGAGTATAAAGGATGATAAATATTGAAGGAATTAGCAGGGACCACAAAATCCACTTATTTGCTTGTATTGACGAGTAGCAGCAGGGCAAGAAAGAATTGAAGAAATGCTCATCCTACTGGGCAAGTACATATACATTTCAATCGTATCAATTCATTTTTAATTTTTTTTCAAAAATATATGCAAGTTGATTTCGAACCTAAAACATGTTTTCATCTCTCGTACAATCTAAGTATAAACAACAAAATACATGCCGCTCATATCATGAATAGACGACACACTTGACAACTGACTGTTACAGAAATAAACAGGAAATGTGTTTGCGCAGCAGGTATTGAAATAATATCTACTTGCCCTGCAGGACAAGTTGGGTTAAAGGATTTTTAAAGCCCTGTTCAGCCACTGTTTCCTGCACATTTCCTTTTGGCAAGGCATTATGTAATGTCTAGTCTCTTAATATCCTGGTTACTTACAGACGCTGGCATAGTATCTGATGAATCGGTCCTCTGCCCCAAAAATGTCAGCTGGTCTGAAGATGGTGGCATCGGGGAACTCTTCCCTCACAGCCTCTTCACCAGCATACTGGGGGAGCATACAACAAAGGTGTGTACTTTTCTTAAACACTTCATTTCAGTGACTGAGTGAGTTGGATTCAATGTACATGTAGTTTTAAAGAGTATTTCAGTTACGTCAGAGCAGTTCAGCTTGGTGAGAAAAGTGATGCAGTTCATAAAATTTACCACTTCGTTGAAACCCACGAGCACAGGTATGGTGCTGACAAACCTAGAAACATAATTGGGCAAACCAGGATTTGAATCCGCAATCATAGGACTATGCACACCAATGGGACACAACTTTGCACAGCAAACTGAGGTGCCTTAGATGACTGGGCACCTTTGACCCAACTTGGTTTACAGATGTACCAAACGAACAGTTTAAGCATAATCCCTTTTTCTCCCAGAGCTTGAACTTCTTTCAGTTTCAAATCTCCATTTGAATATCATAAATCCCCAATCCCCACCACAGCTGATTGTAAAGTGACATCACCGTGTACATTTTCCTATCCCTTGCTATTAAGCTTGAAATCAAAACAAATGAAAATGAATTATGTTAGGCAAAGATCTACATTGAAAGTGACAGACACATTAACTTATCATGAAGGAATGGACATATAAAACACTGGATAATCAAGGCCAATAGGGGAAATGAAGTAACTCTTTCAGTCACCTGTCATTCCCACTTTTTCACTTTCATGTTCTCATTATTTCACCGAACAGACAATACCTGTAACATATCTCATCTATTTCTATTTCATGTTTTCATGTGTAGAACTCAAAACAGAAACCCAAATGAAAACCTTCTTCACCTTAGTTTTCAAGAAGCGTGATCCTCCTTTGATGTAAATCTGTTGTGGGTTAGGACTAGCATTGAGTGAAGAGAAGTGGATCAGTCTCTCCACACCATTCTCCCGGGCCAGTCTGGCAACTAGGCGGGCAGACTCCACATGAACTTCATTGTACTTGAAGTTTCTGAAACAATAATGTGAAACAGCAAAGGTAAAAAAAGGTATTTGTAAACCCAAGAAAATTGAGACACTCATTACATCCATTAAATTATTCATCTTTGGCAAGTTAGTGTTACCTTGTTTCCCAGTCTCGTCCAATCAGATTGATGACAACATTGGAGTACTGCAATACCTTCCTCACAGACTCCTCATCTCGGAGGGAGTAAGGCTGGAATACAATACAAGAGTCACTCACTGTATCTGTACAACAGCACATTGCCACATTCAAATGAAACAGGAAGAAAATCTTTCATTGTCTCTTGAGCTTATCAGGTTATTAATCATGTTAATGATGACTATCAAAATCTACCTACTGACCCTAAAACATAAGAACTTACAAAGAACAAGATCTGTCCCAAATCCCCTGACAACTTGAGTCTCTGAATGTCAAGTGGTTCACCACGATAAGGGATGATCACCTGTGACCCTACTTTACCTGAAAATGCAATGACAATGTTAAAAATATTAATTGCACATTCATGTGAAAGTATATTGTCATGTTTATGTTGATACTGAATCTACTTTACATTGACCTAACTTTCTTCTTCATAAACAATATTAAACATGATAAATATGTCCATCGACATAATATACAGAATGTTTAGCTGTTGATATTTTTTCTGTTCTAATTGCAAATTTAAAGATAATTTACTGAACAAATATTCAAAAACTGCTTTGGGATTATTGGAAAAGAATTACCTAGTCTGTTGACAATATAGCGGCCAACAAACCCGGTGGCACCAAATACCGTAGCAACAACTCCACTGAATGAGGACCTTCCTCCACGGCCTCTCTTGTAGGAAGCTAGGTTGGTACTTTCATCTCTCTTGCTGATGTAAACTGCACTAACCAAGCGAGGTACTGTTGCCTTTCCATGCCCTACACATATACAAAAAGGAAATACAAATATGTCTGCATTCACAGTAGAGCACAACATGACAAGTAGCTCTGAATAAATATGCATATTAATGTTTCATTTTTTCAGTTGTGAGACTGACCAAATTCAAAAGTCACCAATGAAAAATAGAATACATATATAAGACTCTCAAGGCTCCTAAACACACTACAAGTAACATGCACTATAACATCATAAATCATTACTGGCTTGCGACCAATTATTGCCGAGGACCAATTATCGTCCAACACCCCATTATAGCGCACATGAACTGACTTAAGTCTTTCCCATTTTCATTAGAAGGGAGAAATATTTACCTGAATAGATGTGCAAAATTGACTCTTTATCACCAAATATTAAAAATACCCGAAAAGAGCTGCCTGCTTAAATATAGTGACGATAACTAGTATAGTTAGCAATACAACTGTAACCCTTTTTTCCATGCACTGAAATAAGTGCATTTGCTCATAATTTCACAAAAATTAATAGTAGTACTGTAAACTTTAATTCCAAATATTTCAGAAATAACACCGAAAAATGGTGATACCTGATCAGTGGCCAGGATGCTTTTACAACTTCTAGTTCCTTTGCTTTATAGTATGAAGCTATATAATTGCAGGCTCGATATTATTGCGGTAACGAAAGATCTTATACCACAGCCCCCTGTCAACTGTTTACTTATGCAAACCTAAGCACGATATTTCATCGCTTGATCAAATACAGGACTCATTGCAGTATGTCACAGATGCTTGTGTCACAACACAAAAGAGTGATACCTCGATAATAGAGTTGCCCACCCTTGAGTCGCTAATGACAGGTACTTTGTTAGCCAATTTTAGAAAATAAGCATTAATCAGTCCTAATTGATGTGTCATAAAAGTTGAACAAGAACAAGAAACATTTGCATATGAAATATTTAATAGGTTAGTAAGCGTTCGCCATTACGATCCATTGGAAATTAACTACAGCGATAATATAGCGTACCATGCTACCTCGTAACAGTTTACAATATTCCAATGATCGACAATGATCAAATACATTAATTACATTTGCATCAATGATCTGCTGATGTATGTGTCAAAAATAGGTAATATTACACTGGATATAATACAGAAATACTTAGGCCAATACACTACAATCAGCTACCTCACAACAGGATAAGTTGCACGATTAGTCCTGTTTCAAGCGGACATGACTGTCATAAACACCAATATTCACTCCATACATTCTGTACCGTTAACAGTTTTTGAAAGTGAATCTAGTCCAAAACCCAGAACCAATTGCGCAATGGTGGAAACTTCAAAATTGCAGAAGGTTTTCCTATACAGCATCAATATCCATTATCATAACGACGAGTGATATAAACAAGAAAGCTTCAACCGGTGCAGTGCGCTAAACGTGTTGGAGGTCAAAGGGACGGTACCCTTGATTATTATTACTTTGGTAGATGGTTATCAAAAGTAAGAGTAAATGTGATAACTGTTATGCTTATGAGCATTTTCACCGACATTTCAGTTGCAACTGACAACACAAACGATAATAAACTTACGCCCAACTTGGACGACAGTTTTGGAAACAGTGGCAATCGCCGCCATATTGCCGACACTCAAATTGCATTATGGGAGGATCTTATTTCATGTCAAACGTATTTTCGTGTGTAACCTATTACGTATTGATCTGTAAAACTGAAGTTCAAAATAAACCATAGGAACATATGTTACAGTACGCATAAAAAGTACGTATAAACATTAAAAGTAAGATATCTTTGTGTTATTACTACGAAAACTGAAGCGGAATAGAAATGATTAAAACAGAACATTCAAAATAACGTTCGAACTTGTTCCATCATTACTTAATTACTAATCAATGTTAAGCAGTAACACATAACTTACGTAATGAACTTTCCTAAAACATCGAAATTACCATTTTAAGAAATCCGCTTTCCTTTTTAGAGTTTATATTTTGTGAAACCTCGGGCACAGCGCTCGAAAACCGGTCATCAGAAGTTGTATGCACTAACCACAGTCCTTTATCCTTTATTTAACAAAATCGAGAATAATTTGGTAAGTTTGTGGTATCAATATATGACCTGCTAACATTTTGTATAAATAATTGATGCGTCAATATTCATGCTAACACGATTTATGATTGTGTGCGCCCAAACAAGTGAATGTGCATGTTATTTCGTGGTATCGTGAAAACGTTTGATTTACGTTGACGGTTGTTTTTGTTGTCTCAAAACGACGACGTTCATTTCTTTGTTTATCCAAAGATCATAACTGAATTTTCAAGGCACTGCATTTAATTTATTGTAAAAAGGGGAGTAGTGCTCTTTTTCAGATCCAGTTAGCGCTGTGGGGGCTCGAACGTGGGAAAATTAGCCGACGCTCTACCACTGGACCACAGGCGCTATCACATGTTATCAGTGCTCTTTTAACGGGTCATTAGAATCCCCATTAACATTCATGCATAATTCAGTAAACAATGAATTGTGCATGCGTGTGACGTCACGGTCCACTCTCCCATTCATCTTTTTCTTGAAACCACACCCGCCATTGTTTATGTCAACATGACCGACCAATGGGATTAACCGGATTAATGCTTGAAATTTATGGCTAACCCTTGCCCAAAGCAAGCTAACCCTAGGGACCGAAAAGGGGTGTTGGATCGTAAAGACGTGTAAGTTTCCCTAAGACCGAAAAGGGGTGTTGGATCGTAAAGACGTGTAAGTTTCCCTAAGACCGAAAAGGGGTGTTGGATCATAAAGACATGTAAGTTTCCCTAAGACTGAGAACGGGTGTTGCATCGTAAAGATGTGTAAGTTTCCCTAAGACCGAAAACGGGTGTTGGATCGTGAAGCGAGAGTCACCAGAGTGTGTGGCACAGTAACGGTATAACGAGACAGCGGTGGCACTATAGCGCGGTAATTGAGCGGATGGTAGAGCTCGGGCTGCGCCCAGTAAACTGCATTGTTGCCACTTTAGAGTTCTGTACACATGCATTATCCTGGACCCCTAACTGCCATCTTTGTTTGATGCTACTAATGAAGACTCACGTGATAGCATCACTATTTGAAAAATATGGCGATAAAGCTGAAAATAAGCAGAAAAATTGCCACTTGCATTTGTAAAGCTGTCCCTGCAATCCACTGGTGTATAATAATTACCTGTACTTATGTTTCAGACAGATATTGAGTGAGAGCTTCATCAACCAGCAAGATGTCGTACATGCTGCAGCATCTCCACAATGGCTGGCAGGTGGACCAGGCCATCTTGTCGGAGGAGGATCGCGTGGTCATCATTCGCTTCGGCCATGACTGGGACCCCAGCTGCATGGTGATGGATGAAACTCTGTACAAGTGTGCCGAGAAAGTGAAGAACTTTGCGGTCATATACTTGGTGGACATTTCAGCAGTACCAGATTTCAACAAAATGTACGAGTTGTATGACCCCTGCACCTCCATGTTTTTCTACAGAAACAAGCACATCATGATTGACTTGGGCACTGGTAACAACAACAAGATCAACTGGTGTATGGAGGATGTTCAGGAATTTATTGACATTGTGGAGACAGTGTACCGTGGGGCAAGGAAAGGACGAGGTCTAGTTGTGTCACCAAAAGACTATTCTACCAAGTACAGATACTGATATCTCCCTGAATTCTCCTGTGTCACATTGTGTTTGTCATTGGTCATTTGTTTGTTTATTCATGTGTCACCAACACTGTGTTTCAGACACCATGTACAGTGTACTTTTGGTATACAAGGAAGGTATGAACAGTTGGTTGGAAGTGAAATGTCATAAGAAATGTGAAAACATCAGATCGCCAATACGTTAACTATAACATAGAAGATGTTGTGAGTAATGACTTAATTAGCAAACATCCATATTCCATGTACATAATAGACAGGTAAAGTGCTGTTTTTCATGTGTTTTTCATGATCATGAAATAAACACTAAACCTCTCGAATTATTCGAATTTATGGAAACATTGTTTTATATATTATTATGTTGAGAGACAGTGTAGTTAGTTAATTGTGATCACAATGTCATCTATTTGGGCAGAATCCCTGCGTGTTAAAGTGTTTGATAGATGGCAACCATGGTTGCTGACAACATCCATAAAGACTAGTGTTTGTCTTTTTGTCTGGGACAAGGAAATAAATGTTGTGCTATGCTGCTTTTTGTGCTTTGTTGATAAGTATAACAGTCAAGTTGATGAATTTGGTATGGATGACATTTTGGGTGTCTCCTGCACATTGATCTAAGTGATGCATGAATGTTACATCTGCCACAAGCAAGCTATTTCACATTGGTCTGCAAATAATCATTATCAAGTATGGGCCAAGCAAAACAGTGGTTGATAGCATGAGTAACAATCCACAAGTAATGATCAATAGACTATGTCCTTCAGTGTGACCACCAGATACCAACTGTGGTGAACTCTTAAATACTGACAAGAATGGAATGCTGGGGATATATTCCGAACCAGAAATATCTCAATGTGGTGAGATCAACAGAAAATTGGGATGTAAATTATGTTCTGTATGTGCTTAGTCTACAAACACTAGATCTCTAAGACATGGGTATAATCTCTAACAATCCAGTGTTCCCGTTGGCTTTTGAAACTGCCACTCCTGGTGGACTAGTAACTCTAAAAATTACCAGTCCCCACTAATTTTTGTCAGTCCCAACTTCAACAAATAAAAAAACATATGAAAATTACCTGGTCATAATTCTTTCAACATCATGTTCAGTGCAATGACGTCATCTCTGAAGTAACTTAGATCTACACGTCATTCGCACAAGGTTCAGTCACAGTTTTCTAATTTTTTTTATGAATATTTCAAGACAGTTGCAAAAACTACATTCGGAAAATATATTTACATGAATACCACATATATATACAGTACTTTATTTGCCGGTCCACAGGGACTGGCGGTCACATGAATTACCGGTCAAAAACTGGTAATCATCGTTAAATGGGATCACTGCAATCTACTTGTCCAGTGTTAGAAAGACATTTTGTATGAAATATTTGCACTTTTATCTGGAAATCATAAAGTACAAAAGTGTGGCCTATGTGATTTTTAGAAAAGAAAAAACAACATATGATCTTGCACCCTGTGCACATGATCATCCACACCAAAATTAGAGTTTATATTGCTTTTGATCAATTGCAGCATATTCCTCACATGCAGTATATATGAACACTGCTAAAACACTAAATACATTTTATCAAGTTTATTCATGAAGTTTCATGAAACTATGTGTCCCCTCATACGAAATTAAAGGGGCACTGATCTAACGCAATACCCCGGACTGGTTGTTGCCTTTGTTATTGTTTTTTTCCCCGTGAGTACCCGGATGATACGCAACGCAACTGAGCGTGACCAGAGACTGGGCTACCGTCTGCAAGGATAGCTAAATAAACTTGGAGGCTGGAGGCATAATTTGTTTTACGCATTTTTGCATAAACACTGATTGGTTAACTGTGATCTATAAAGATTTCGACAAAGGGCGCATGTTAATTAATTTCTTCAGCCTAAACAAACAGACAAAAAGAACGGCGGAGCTCATCGGATGTCGTCATTTGGAAATACCCCAGATGGTTATAGTTTAATACTAAAAAAAGTATCCATGCAAGGAAAGCATTTTCGGATTTCGGCTTGCGTCGATAATACGATTACTACTCCCTTGTTGTCATCCACGTTTTCTCGTATAACCCCTACACTTGTGTATTTGTCGTCATTCACTTGGTGCTCAGTTAATGAATTTATTACAGGTACAATTAGTGGTAGCGCCACTTAGATTACCTGACAAAAGTTCCCATTTGGCATTTATTGTGTCTGGGGTAATTATTCAATCTAAATCCAGGTTTGAAGTGAGTTGAAATGTGTGTTATGTAATATGCACGTGGCAGCCCAGCAAGAGATGAATGATAGGTTGATTTACTTTTATTTGTAAATCAACGGATCGTTCCTAGTCATCAAAGGATTAACAGAAAATACGTTGATTGATTAATCACTGTTATCTTGCACAGTGGATATGTCAAGAGTGAGTGTTTACATGTCTAGGTTTACTAAAACAAAGGGAATACACATATATCATGGCGTGAAGTGCCGATGTAAAAACAACATACTTTGTTCAAAGGGTTAACTGATAATACGTTGATTGATTGATCATTGTTATCTATCACTCAATGGATTTTTTAGGAACCGTGGTCGTTAGTTGTCAGGTGCGCTTTCTCAGCCGTCCATTGAGACTTGACACCTATGTAAAACACCTGAAACAATCCAAGTGATCAGTTGAGAAACGAACACGGGTTATAATATCCCGAAACGATATATATCTTTTAAGATATCATTTTTGATTGTTACTGAGACACGTGACATCGAATAAGTTTCTTTGTACAGCTACAGACAAGTGGGATATTGTTGCTTTGTGTGGATATTCACGGATACATTCCTCGAACAAGGAAGCTACCTAAAATTTATACACATAAATTTGGTAGGTTGTAATTATGAAATTTGCATTTTGTTTTCCTTCATTTGAACGGATTCGTTCTTGTTTCTCTACGTCTTGGTTGGGACATTCTTCAATGCGCGATAGACGTTGTTTTCACAGGTCTTTTCCTTTGTAAGCGTGTATATATTACCGTCAATTTGTAAAATGTGATTCTCTCAGGCAATTTATAAAATGTGTAAATATTTCAGTCATTTTGACTAAAAAACGATCAAAAGGGCCTACAAACATCACAACAGATTATTATGTAGGATTAGAAGCCAAACAACATAGAAATGTACTTTTCAAAGTAACATTTTCAGTCTCTTGGTGATGACATTACACATCAAAATGTTTGGAACTCACACTGTCATAATAATACAGATGGAAATGTTTTTCAGTCACTTTGTAAAATAACTGAATATTTAGACGTTTTAATAAATTTGTTACACATTTGACAGTAAAAAAAATATACACACTATAAAAAAAGTAATGCTCAGGTGAAATATTTACTTTGCGTTGCAAGTCAAAATAGTGTAAACGAAAATCGCAAAATTACCAAGCAAGTGACTTATCAAAACTTCGTCACCATTACCGATGCTACCCACAAAGATACCTACATTTCCTTATTATCTCGAAAACTGTATAATATCATTTTGTTGATCAATGTGACCATACGCCCTTATTACTACCCATAAAAGTGACTAATGCGCTTACGAATGGCGCAGCAGAGGTCGCGAACTAGTCTAGATTTCTGCTATACATCCGGGTACTCACTGGGAAAAAACAATAACAAAGGCAACAACCAGTCCCGGGGAATTGCGTTAGATCAGTGCCCCTTTAAATACACAGGTTTTTTTTATAATATAAATAGTTTTAGTTGCTTCGTCTGTAACGTGTAATGATACATTAGATCACCTATGCAGAAGAATTATATGCTGCCAAATGAATTGAATATTTCGAACATTATTTCCAGAACTTCTATTGACCGACTCATGGTCAAAGGGAGATAATTCTTTCGAATTACCTCCCTTGATCCATACCTACACCTTATGTAAGCACTTCACAAGCTGCTGCAACACGTCGTGGATACAAGTTCGTCCCCTGTGGTATGTAGTAACCTTTCTCACTGTCATCCAACTAGCGTATGTCTAGCATGGAGCAGTAACAAAAGTTATATTGTAACTGAGACATCTAGCAAAGAGCCGCGATGTAGGGTCATGTCTTGACTGTAGGACCATCGCGGCTCTCGGCTATGGGACAGGCACCTCTGGTCGGGTGGGTATTGAGTAGGACCCGTGGTGAGTCAGGTGAAATATTGTTAAATGACAAACATTATCTATAACTCCATGGTTACAACTTACACTACAAGTCACTAATGTTAGCCTCTCTGATTATGCACGCATCCCTTCTGACATTCATATGTTGGAATAAATATAAAGATTCAGTCAGTTTCAGTGACCAGATCGTTTTATACGTGTATCTAAATACATTTTGCCAGGGCTACGGTCAAACTATTCCCAATCGGACAAATTGTACCCAACTCCTGATACCTACAGCGGGCACCGGGTGGGGTAGGGTAATAGGGGGTTGGGTACCCGGCTAGTACATTTGGATTCGTCCCAGCCCAACATTCATTCATGCAGGAGTGACAGATAAACCATACATAGGAGTTTAATTCATGTTGGTTTTTTTCCATATAGATCTAGGGAATACTACTTATTGTCATACTAGGAAGTATATGAGGAACATATGGAGTGTCAATCATACAACGAAACTTCACTGAAATCAGCCCATTGCACAGACATTGCTGTGTTATCAATTTGTGACTTCATGAGTAATGGATGATGACGCATATTGTTCTCAATGAGGAATTAGTGTGATGTCCTGTCACCTCAACTAACCAATTCACCCTGGGATTATTACACAAGACCTATCTACCCTTATTGGTAATATATACTCTTTAAAAAATGAAACGCAAAGACATATTTGTGTGAGGTAGGAAAATACATTTATACAAGAAACCGTACAAGGTATTGAGCCAAAATGTTGTGGAGAGAACACTTGGTGATTGTATTCATCTCAGTTATTGGTGCATGGGAATAGTCCAAGGTGAAGGTGAGCTACCATCAATAACGCGTATGTCCCCCGTTGGAATCGATAGTGGCCTGACACCTCCTGCCCATGGAAGAGACGAGTATGCGAAACACATCTATCCAATTCATCCCCCAGTTGCTCTATAGGGTTCAAATCCAGGGATATGGAGGGCCAGGGGAGAACAGCTTTTATGGCCCAAACTATCCATTTTGCACTTCTTTTTTTGAAGAGTATTTATGGGCAGCCATTCGGTAACAAAATACAAAGATGAAAAAAGGACAAAAGGACGCAAAAAAACGTCAGATATTACGAATAGAGAACTAAATGTTACAAATGAAGGTCAAAATATAAAACAAACGGAGGCCGGTAAAAAAATACAAAGCTGAAATAACGTAACAAGTATGCAATATTGATAGTCAAATGTTACGAAAAGACATAAGAAAAGAAAGAACATTGTGTAAGAAAGAACGTCAGTGAGCATGAAAGGACTTTGACAGTAAAGAACACCAGATGGCGCTGCAATTTGTAAAAAATTCCGACTTTAATCGGCTTGTTCCACCGTGTATATGATAACTACATGCCGCGGTTCACGACCTATTACATCATTCCTCGTGCACTCACTGTCTGACGTATGCATGATGTACATATTGTGTATACATGGTGTGTTTAAGTATCGTCACCGGGCAAGGGCCGTTTCATAAATACAGTATACTATGTAATCTGGCATCTGCCTAATTAGTACATGTATTTAGTATACAACCTTCAATAAACACTCATTTGGCACTAAACCAGGATTAATCTACAATGATCCAATTATCTGTACATGCTTGGTGCAACACGAGGGTGCTATGATGCTGAGTTTTGTTTCAGACGCACATTGTCATAACATCTGAAAAGTGAACACTGTGCGAGAATTTTTTTATTTAACCGCTTTTTGGAAACTGTGCATATATATAATGTTATACATTCGTTAGGAAAAATAGCTTGCCATAAATGAAGAAAATCAATTTTCCTCTAAGGCATCAGCGTTCGTTTTCACACCTGATGTATTTTGCTTGTTAACATCTAGACCATTTATATTTGCAACAAAGACAAGTTGTACGCTCACTTTGAAGTTGAATAAACTTTAAAATACATTACACAAACTCACAGATTGGAATTCTGTGGGAAATTCTAATTTTTCTGATATCACACGCAGCCATTTTTAGGCAAAGTTAAATTACTGAAAAATATATATGAAAATTATGCTACTTATGATATGTTACTAAATCACCATTCACTGCGTTATTTCGAGTACGTTTTTAAATCTAAATGTTGGATATATACTCGGAAAATTCAATAACGAAAACAGCACATTAGTGATCACGTATATGTGTGGTTTATCACATCAATAATGATAATTCGGAAATGTCGCAGATAACCCGAGAATCGTTTGAAATGTTTTAGAAAATAAGCAAACACGAACCTCATATTGGATAGTGTTTACTAAATCCCGTTTCTTGTATGCCGGTTATGAGACGCATATTACATCACATATATTTCACACACAGCTTCGATGTATACATCCCCGAATTACGCATACATTTTAGCATCAACTTACAACTTGTCTTTGTTACAAATATCAATGGTCTAGATGTAACCAGCGAAATAAATCAGGTGTGGAAACGAACGCTGATGCCATAGAGGAAAATTGATTTTCTTTATTAATGGCATGCTATTTTACCTAACGAATGTATGACGTTATACATATGCATACAAATCCATTTGATGTATATTTTTGTTGTTCAGATATTAGGCAACATTTTATTCACACACAGTTTTCGAAAAGCTGTTAAATAAAACAAATTTCACAACGTTTACTTTTCAGATGTTATGAAAATGTGCGTCTGAAACAAAACTCGGCATCATAGCACCCTCGTGTTGCACCAAGCATGAACAGTTATTGGATCATTGTAGATTTATCCTAGTTTAGCATCAAATGAGTGTTTATTGAATGTTGTATACTAAATACATGTACTAATTAGGCAGATGCCAGATTACATAGTATATTGTATTTATGAAATGGCTCTTGCCCGATGACGATACTTAAACGCACCATGTGTATAAACAATATGTACATCATGCATACGTCAGACGGTAAGTGCACGAGGAATGACGTAATACATCGTGAACCTCGGCATGTAGTTATCATATACACGGTGGAACAAGCCGATTAAAGTCGGAATGATTACAAATTGCAGCGTCATCTGGCGTTCTATATTGTCAAAGTCCTCTCGTGCTCAGTGACATTCTTTTGTACACATTGTTCTTTTGTTTCTTAAGATGTCTTTTCGTAACATTTGACTATCAATATTGCAAACTTTTTACCTTTATTTCAACTTTGTTTTTGTTTAACTGGTGTCTGTTTGTTTTGTATGTTGACGTTTATTAGAAACATTTAATACTTTATTAGTGACATTTGACTGTTTTTGTGTACTTTCGAACTTTATTTCAGCTTCGTATTTTTTTACTGGCATCCGTTTGTTTTGTATTTTGATCTTTATTAGTAACATTTAGTTCTTTATTTGTAATATTTGACCTTTATCGTGTACTTTTGTCCTTTTTTACAACTTTGTATTTTTGACCGAATGGCTGCACATAAATATATGCTTTCATCATGTTTACTAAACTAAATATTTCAGCTCTTATTCCTATAAACTAACTTTGGGCAGAATTAAAAAGTTGAATAGAATTTGATCACATTGGTGCTAAGAATGAGATGGCAAATATTTTGAATCCTCAGCAAATGCAATCCCCAAGAGTGGCCATTGTGGGTGGAGGAGTATCTGGCCTGGTTTGTGCTGCCAGGCTCGGGCAGCTGAACATTCACGATGTAACCGTGTTTGACACAGGTAAAGTGGCACTCCCTGTAGTATAAGGACATTTGTTCACACATCTGCTGACCTGTGAAAGGAGGTATTGATAATACAATGTATATTAAGTTTAACCAGGTCATTTGTAAATTTATCTAAATGGGGGTTACAGTTAGCACTGGCTCAATATTTGAAGCATTATCAACCATTTCAAAATTGTATATGTATGCACAAGCATGACCAATGGAACAAGAAGTCAATGGCCACATTCTGACTTTCCATTGATGTGATTCTCAGTTACATAATTCAAAGAATCTTTTGGAATAAAATATAAAACTGTGTGTGCTTCTACAAGATTTGTATATTAGATATATTTATGTTGTTAATGCTTCATCATGCAGGTCAAAATGCAGTGGGAGGTCGCTGCTCATCTCGCCATGTGCCGATTGAGGGGAAAACATACATATTTGACCACTCAGCTCAGTACTTCACAGTCACGGACAAAAGGTTTGCTAAAATTGTCAGTTTTCTGCACTCCAAAGGGGCAGTGAAAGTGTGGTCAGGTAACATTGGACATCTCAAGAAGGGCAGATTCTCGACAGATGCTAATATCACTCAGGCTTTTATTGGCAGTGAGGGAATGAGGTCTGTGGTGGAATGTCTGGCATCACTTGTCAAAGTACAGCGGCCTTGTTGGATTGGCAGTGTCAGCTTCGACAGTGTGTCTAGGAAATGGCAGGTAGACAAGTATGGCTTCTTTGACTATTTGGTTGTAGCTCACAATGGTAAGTGTGCTGACAAGTTAATGTCAAACGCTGGAGTACCCGACATTCATAGACTGCTGACAGTGAGGTTTGGGGATCATCTTGTCTCCAGGGATCCACGGATGCAACTTTGTTCATTGTGGGTTCTACTGGTTGCATTCAGAGAGCCACTTAAACTCCCCTTTCAGGGAGCACATGTTGAACATCAAGATATATCATGGATTGCAAACAACACTGCCAAGCTAGGACAGAAATTTCCTGCTAGTAAGATTGAATGTTGGACAGTGTTTAGTACGAGAGAGTTCGGCACAGCAAACAAGGTTCCTCAGGAGAACATTCCCCCGGGGAAGGCCCAAGGCGTTACCAGCAAGCTGCTCGATGCATTCAGCCAGGCCACGGGGAAGGGCCAGCTCCCCGCCGTCGTGTATTCCCGAGTACAGTTGTGGGGGGCAGCTGTGCCCATGAATGTGTTGGGAACAGATGAGGAGTGTGTGTTTGACAGCTTCAGTAATGTGGGTATTTGTGGGGACTGGCTGGTGAGCCCCTGTATTCAGGGGGCAGCGCTCAGCGGGCTCGCTCTAGCAGAGAGGATACATCAACACTGTAATGGTAGGTGTCAGTCTTAAAAAGATGCAGTTTGGAGGAATGGTGAAATTACTATAGTCAAAAAATATTATGCTCATTTGGAAACAAAAGGAATCTTTCGTAAATAATGTATACATAAGATGTGCTTACCTAGTCTCTCAGTCCCATTTATTAAGCGGGAAAAGAAACTGTTGGACATTATTAGTAATGGTGTCTTTATGGTGTCTTATATGACACCGTATACCCGGTACGGCAACTTAAGACACCATAACAAATTTATTATGCCGGAAAGTGTACACTATTTGGTATCTTCATGGCACATGTGATGTCAAAATAAAAACTTGACACTTACAACCAATATAAATGACAGGACCAGTACATATGTTTCCAATACAACGCTTTAGTTTAAACACAAACGTTAACAATTGGAATATATAATGCATTAGATGTGGACGTTTAAACATTTATTATTGCTAAATGGATATATTTATCATTAAAATTGCCTGCAGAAATCTGCAGTGTGAGGAAATGCTTACCAGGTACTATTGTGGATATATTGTAGTGTAAGGGCCATGCTTACCAGGTACTATTGTGGATATATTGTAGTGTAAGGGCCATGCTTACCAGGTGCTATTGCGGATATATTGCAGTGTAAGGAAATGCTTACCAGGTGCTATTGTGGATATATTGCAGTGTAAGGAAATGCTTACCAGGGGCTATTGTGGATATATTGTAGTGTTAGGAAATGCTTACCAGGTACTTTTTTGGGTATATTGCAGTGTAAGGGCCATGCTTACCAGGTACTATTGTGGATATATTGCAGTGTAAGGGCCATGCTTACCAGGTGCTATTGTGGATATATTGCAGTGTAAGGAAATGCTTACCAGGTACTATTGTGGATATATTACAGTGTAAGGGCCATGCTTACCAGGTACTATTGTGGATATATTACAGTGTAAGGGCCATGCTTACCAGGTACTATTGTGGATATATTACAGTGTAAGGGCCATGCTTACCAGGTACTATTGTGGATATATTACAGTGTAAGGGCCATGCTTACCAGGTCTTGTTATCATGGATGTCATGCATCATGTTCGATCCATTCTGCCGCTTTTTCAGTGTTCCTGTTTAATTCGCTGGACTGCCAGTCCCTATGGACCGGCAAATAAAGTACCTCATAAATCTTTGTATTTGAAAAAAACATTGGCGATATTCATAAAAGTATTTTTTTTTTTAACGAAGTTAGCTTGTCTGTTACCATCAGGGTTCCCCCTTGTCTAATTTGCCACGAAATATTAAAAAAAAGAAGAAACTTGTGACATGTAGATCTAACTATGTTACTCCAGAGATGACGGCATTGCTTTGAAAACTAAAGAACTTAACTGAGAACTAAAACCAGGTTTTTTTCATATGTTTTTTTATTTATAGACTGACACAAAATTTGGGTGGACTGGTAATTTTTGAGTTGCCATTCAACAAGGACTGGCAGTTTCAAAAGCCAGCAGGAACACTGTTCTTGTATTATTGTTTTAAAACTTTAATGCAACTGTTTTGCAATGCAAAAGAGAAAAATATAGCACCATCTGCTTTTTCAGGGGTGGCCATCACCAGCACCAGTGTGAAGCCTGTGTTTGTGCCAGCCAGTGGTCACATGATAGGGGCCTTCCCCACAGACAGGAACATGATCTTCACTCCCAACAAGTCACAGTAGGTGTTGCCAGCACAGACAGGAACATGATCTTCACTCTCAACAAGTCACAGTAGGTGTTGCCAGCACAGACAGGAACATGATCTTCACTCCCAACAAGTCACAGTAGGTGTTGCCAGCACAGACAGGAACATGATCTTCACTCCCAACAAGTCACAGTAGGTGTTGCCAGCACAGACAGGAACATGATCTTCACTCCCAACAAGTTATAGCAGGTGTTGCCAGCACAGACAGGAACATGATCTTCACTCCCAACAAGTCATAGCCGGTGTTGCCAGCACAGACAGGAACATGATCTTCACTCCCTACAAGTTATAGCAGGTGTTGCCAGCACAGACAGGAACATAATCTTTACTCCCAACAAGTCACAGCAGGTGCTTGCCAGCACAGACAGGAACATGATCTTCACTCCCAACAAGTTATAGCAGGTGCTTGCCAGCACAGACAGGAACATGATCTTCACTCCCAACAAATCATAGCCGGTGTTGCCAGCACAGACAGGAACATGAACTTCACTCCCAACAAGTTATAGCAGGTGTTGCCAGCACAGACAGGAACATGATCTTTACTCCCAACAAGTCACAGCAGGTGCTTGCCAGCACAGACAGGAACATGATCTTCACTCCCAACAAGTTATAGCAGGTGCTTGCCAGCACAGACAGGAACATGATCTTCACTCCAAACAAGTCACAGCAGGTGCTTGCCAGCACAGACAGGAACATGATCTTCACTCCCAACAAGTTATAGCAGGTGCTTGCCAGCACAGACAGGAACATGATCTTCACTCCCAACAAATCATAGCCGGTGTTGCCAGCACAGACAGGAACATGAACTTCACTCCCAACAAATCATAGCTGGTGTTGCCAGCACAGACAGGAACATGATCTTCACTCCCAACAAATCATAGCAGGTGTTGCCAGCACAGACAGGAACATGAACTTCACTCCCAACAAGTTATAGCAGGTGTTGCCAGCACAGACAGGAACATGAACTTCACTCCCAACAAATCATAGCCGGTGTTGCCAGCACAGACAGGAACATGATCTTCACTCCCAACAAGTTATAGCCGGTGTTGCCAGCACAGACAGGAACATGAACTTCACTCCAAACAAATCATAGCCGGTGTTGCCAGCACAGACAGGAACATGATCTTCACTCCCAACAAATCATAGCAGGTGTTGCCAGCACAGACAGGAACATGATCTTCACTCCCAACAAATCATAGCCGGTGTTGCCAGCACAGACAGGAACATGATCTTCACTCCCAACAAATCATAGCCGGTGTTGCCAGCACAGACAGGAACATGATCTTCACTCCCAACAAGTTATAGCAGGTGTTGCCAGCACAGACAGGAACATAATCTTCACTCCCAACAAATCATAGCCGGTGTTGCCAGCACAGACAGGAACATGAACTTCACTCCCAACAAATCATAGCCGGTGTTGCCAGCACAGACAGGAACATGATCTTCACTCCCAACAAGTTATAGCAGATGTTGCCAGCACAGACAGGAACATGAACTTCACTCCCAACAAATCATAGCCGGTGTTGCCAGCACAGACAGGAACATGATCTTCACTCCCAACAAGTTATAGCAGGTGTTGCCAGCACAGACAGGAACATGATCTTCACTCCCAACAAATCATAGCCGGTGTTGCCAGCACAGACAGGAACATGATCTTCACTCACAACAAGTTATAGCAGGTGTTGCCAGCACAGACAGGAACATGATCTTCACTCCCAACAAATCATAGCCGGTGTTGCCAGCACAGACAGGAACATGATCTTCACTCCCAACAAGTTATAGCAGGTGTTGCCAGCACAGACAGGAACATGAACTTCACTCCCAACTAATCATAGCTGGTGTTGCCAGCACAGACAGGAATATGATCTTCACTCCCAACAAGTTATAGCAGGTGTTGCCAGCACAGACAGGAACATAATCTTCACTCCCAACAAGTCACAGCAGGTGCTTGCCAGCACAGACAGGAACATGATCTTCACTCCCAACAAGTTATAGCAGGTGCTTGCCAGCACAGACAGGAACATGATCTTCACTCCCAACAAATCATAGCCGGTGTTGCCAGCACAGACAGGAACATGAACTTCACTCCCAACAAGTTATAGCAGGTGTTGCCAGCACAGACAGGAACATGAACTTCACTCCCAACAAATCATAGCCGGTGTTGCCAGCACAGACAGGAACATGATCTTCACTCCCAACAAGTTATAGCAGGTGTTGCCAGCACAGACAGGAACATGATCTTCACTCCCAACAAATCATAGCCGGTGTTGCCAGCACAGACAGGAACATGAACTTCACTCCCAACAAGTTATAGCAGGTGTTGCCAGCACAGACAGGAACATGATCTTCACTCCCAACAAGTTATAGCAGGTGTTGCCAGCACAGACAGGAACATGATCTTCACTCCCAACAAATCATAGCCGGTGTTGCCAGCACAGACAGGAACATGAACTTCACTCCAAACAAGTTATAGCAGGTGTTGCCAGCACAGACAGGAACATGATCTTCACTCCCAACAAGTTATAGCAGGTGTTGCCAGCACAGACAGGAACATGATCTTCACTCCCAACAAATCATAGCCGGTGTTGCCAGCACAGACAGGAACATGAACTTCACTCCCAACAAGTTATAGCAGGTGTTGCCAGCACAGACAGGAACATGATCTTCACTCCCAACAAATCATAGCCGGTGTTGCCAGCACAGACAGGAACATGAACTTCACTCCCAACAAGTTATAGCAGGTGTTGCCAGCACAGACAGGAACATGATCTTCACTCCCAACAAATCATAGCCGGTGTTGCCAGCACAGACAGGAACATGATCTTCACTCCCAACAAGTTATAGAAGGTGCTTGCCAGCACAGACAGGAACATGATCTTCACTCCCAACAAGTCACAGTAAGTGTTGCCAGCACAGACAGGAACATGAACTTCACTCCCAACAAGTCACAGTAAGTGTTGCCAGCACAGACAGGAACATGAACTTCACTCCCAACAAGTCACAGCAGGTGCTTGCCAGCACAGACAGGAACATGATCTTCACTCCCAACAAGTCACAGTAAGTGTTGCCAGCACAGACAGGAACATGAACTTCACTCCCAACAAGTCACAGCAGGTGCTTGCCAGCACAGACAGGAACATGATCTTCACTCCCAACAAATCATAGCAGGTGTTGCCAGCACAGACAGGAACATAATCTTCACTCCCAACAAGTCACAGCAGGTGCTTGCCAGCACAGACAGGAACATGATCTTCACTCCCAACAAGTTATAGCAGGTGCTTGCCAGCACAGACAGGAACATGATCTTCACTCCCAACAAGTTATAGCAGGTGCTTGCCAGCACAGACAGGAACATGATCTTCACTCCCAACAAATCATAGCCGGTGTTGCCAGCACAGACAGGAACATGAACTTCACTCCCAACAAGTTATAGCAGGTGTTGCCAGCACAGACAGGAACGTGATCTTCACTCCCAACAAATCATAGCAGGTGTTGCCAGCACAGACAGGAACATGATCTTCACTCCCAAATTGTCAACTATTGCTCTGTGTTGAGGGAGAACAAGTCACAGAGTGACATCAACAAATCATTTCTTACACCAACTTGATATTTTGGTAACAAGAATGAATGAAAGGAAATTCCTGTAAAATGTAATATTTAAAAAATAATACCAAAATTAAGTAGTGCCTTATTTATAGAGTTTAATCAGAAATGTATGTTAGCAATGAAGACAAATGCAGTGTGGGTAAACTGAGTGTAGACAAGTGTAGTGTGGGTAAACTGAGTGTAGACAAATGTAGTGTGGGTAAACTAAGTGTAGACAAATGTAGCGTGGGTAAACTAAGTGTAGACAAATGTAGCGTGGGTAAACTGAGTGTAGACAAATGTAGCGTGGGTAAACTGAGTGTAGACAAATGTAGCGTGGGTAAACTGAGTGTAGACAAATGTAGCGGGGGTAAACTGAGTGTAGACAAATGTAGCGGGGGTAAACTGAGTGTAGAGTGTAGACAAATGTAGCGTGGGTAAACTGAGTGTAGACAAATGTAGTGTGGGTAAACTGAGTGTAGAGTGTAGACAAATGTAGTGTGGGTAAACTGAGTGTAGACAAGTGTAGTGTGGGTAAACAGTGTAGACAAATGTAGTGTGGGTAAACTGAGTGTAGACAAATGTAGTGTGGGTAAACTGAGTGTAGACAAATGTAGCGTGGGTAAACTGAGTGTAGACAAATGTAGCGTGGGTTAACTGAATGCCGACCACCAGACAGGGTAGCAACAAGTACCATCTATTAACATATTATGGGGATCAAACCCTGGACCTTTCGTCCTCTGGGCGGACGCTCTACCACTAGTCTAAGCAGACAGTCAAAGTATTGTTTTAAACCGTCCAACATGCTAGGAGTACCAAGTGACCATGCCAAGTCACTAGAATCTTTGAAAAATCATCACAAACTAGAGGATGTGAAATTTACTAGATTTATTATATAAAATAACTGACAAAAACAAGTTCACTTCAAAAACGTTTTTGAACACTTTGTTCATGTTATGTATACAGGAGAGATTAAATAGGAATATGGTATGTACAAATGACAGGTATTGACTTCCTCAAGTCTTCATCGACACATACAATGTACATAGAGTATACACAATGTACTCACTGATGACTTAAGCATGTTTCGTCGATCAGAAAGAGGAAAAACACTAAAATGAACAAAAACAGTAATCAAGGGGATCCCAAATACTGTTTGTTAATGATCAACAAAGGATCACTTTATTGCATTTTGGCTTCATTTTATCGCAGCTGTATATGCATAGACAAGAGTGGTTCAAAAACTACTACTTCATGAAGTAAAACAACAGATTCAGGGTCATAAATATGCAGTAAAATTCTATTAAGATGAAGATGGGGATCTGACAGTGTAAAATAACAATCTTGTATAGAGACGATACAAACATGTAAAGGTCATCGAAATTCCTATAGTAGTGAACCCATGTCATGTGGTAACAACTTGAACAAGGTCAAGGTTAAGTCAGCTCTGTGTTGAGGGAGAACAAGTCACAGAGTGACATCAACAAATCATTTCTTACACCAACTTGATATTTTGGTAACAAGAATGAATGAAAGGAAATTCCCGTTAAATGTAATATTTAAAAAATAATACCAAAATTAAGTAGTGCCTTATTTATAGAGTTTAATCAGGAATGTCATGTGAAGAGACGTCATCAAGACAAAGTATGCCCTGCACAGAGACTCCAGGAAATAGTGTTGGCATCATATAAACCAAGACTTCTTGAAGCAATTGAAATCATATGGCGATATGCAATCCACCTGACAGGCACAAACAATGGAACTATGCAAGGATGACATGACTGGTAAATGTAAAATCTACTGAAAGCATAATCAATTAGATGAGGTACCGGTATGTTTAGATATGAAGAAAATGGATATAAACCTTTCATAAGTTCAAGAAAAGCTGTGTTATGAAGATCACATTTTATTTGTGAACAACACTATAAGAGGAATATTTTGAATGGCTGCTCAGCAGCCAAGATGTGAGACAAGCCCCTGAGATGTACGAGAACACAATCTATCAGCTTCTATCAACCAGGAAGCTAAAGAAATACCATTCAACTTTGGTTTCCAAACCGAGACACAGTACTTCTTTTAACACTTCAAAATGAATGTGTTCTCAAAATACAATGGCACATGTTTACACAAAATTAATATCCAAATAGTTTGATCTGAATTAGTATGTAAGAAGAATGTTTTGGCACCTTGTCTGGTATATACTGAGGATGTTTCCTATATAGGCACATTGATAATAGTTACTAGTGCCGTTATGTAACTACACAGTGAACTGTTGCAGTAGGTAACTTGAGATGTCATGAATCTGCTCCACATAGCAGTTAACTTTGGTCCTGGTGACGGATCTAAGGCAGGTATCACTTTTACGCAACAGTTAAGTTGATTCAATGCAATCTCATTGCACTCAGTTCTTTCACAGCTTTCTAAATGATATGACTCCACTTCCGTACCACTTGATTCAGTCATTTCTCCACTCAGAGAGGTATTTTATTGGAGTAAGAGATTTGATCTTAATGAGATTGATCCCATATGTATACACATATATTCCTTAGAATGAATCACCCAGAAAAGAACATCATGTAGTGTGGGTTGATGGATTTCAAGGTACATGTAATGAACATTATATATGGAAATGAAACATCACCAGTGCTTCTTAGCTACAACCAAACAGTCGTTGTCATGGAGATAGGTTTGGAACGGCTCAACAGCATCACAAGACACTAATAAAATAGTTATAGAATGGTGTTTGGTGTTCACTGTATATGATCAAAACTACGTAGTTAACACTTGTTTTATTTTTAAAGTTAATAAATTTGAACTACATCCATCCAATAACTAGATTAGGGTATGACACCACCTCCCCCCCCCCCCCCCCCCGATAGTGTGCAATGATGAAATAATGCCCTATGGACAATAAATATATTCAAAATAGATACTAATTTCATGATGATACTACCAACTGCATGCTTAGTACCTAAGATCAATGAAGATTCAAACTACCGCATAGTGAGATTTTTCTTGTCTATCATAAGACAAGTGAGTATTACACCACTCTTGCCGAATGAAATGTTTGAAAATAACAGTACCCGGAAAGAAGTTGAATCAATACCCGATGCAGATATATGATTTGCTTAATGAATCTTAACAGGTTTTGAATGGATAGTCAATGCAGGTATGATTTGCTTAATGAATCTTGTCCTTCCTGTTATAGCACGATGTGGTGTATTGTTGTTCCGACTTCAGTGGCATTTTATCAGAGATATGGCTAGCCACACACACGACTTCTTGACCAGTCTATTTGTCCTTCTTGGCTTCAATAACACCATTGGCTGTTACAACGCTACCGTTCCTCTTGTGACCTCGTGTTGTACCATTCGCAACTTTGCCGTTGGAGACTTGTGCCTTTGAATCCCCTCCCTGCAGCAGAGGCAATATGTGATGTAGACATGTGACTCGGTAAGCCATGTACACAATTTGAAATAACATGTTTGAACAGGCAAAAATTTAATGTGATTAGGACACAAATAATCTTTGAAGAAATGCTATACTTTCATTGTGACAAATGCTATATCAGTCTGGATTAATTTAGCTGTTTTGAAGGAAAAATGCTATTGGTCCTTCAAGTTCCAACAAGTTTAAAACTAAAAATTGTACAAGAGAATGAAAACATACACTCCCATTAAAAGTATCTTAAATATTTTGTTCCCCATTTTCTCTCTGGGTCGTCTGTTACCCCTTTCACCCCATCTCTTGTACATATTGACAGATCCACTATGAATGGTTACGAACATGAGCTTTGAAAGCTTTCATCTTTTATATCCTGGTTGCATCAGCATAAAGTGCCCACCCATCATAAAGTATAATGCCCACCCATCATAGAGCATAATGACTACCCATCATAGAGCATAATTACCACCCATCATAAAGTATAATGCCCACCCATCATAGAGCATAATTACCACCCATCATAAAGTATAATGCCCACCCATCATAGAGCATAATGACTACCCATCATAGAGCATAATTACCACCCATCATAGAGTATAATGCCCACCCATTATAAAACATAATGCCCACCCATCATAGAGCATAATTACCACCCATTATAGAGCATAATTACCACCCATCATAGAGTATAATGCCCACCCATTATAGAGCATAATTACCACCCATCATAGAGTATAATGCCCACCCATTATAGAGCATAATTACCACCAATCATAGAGTATAATGCCCACCCATTATAGAGCATAATTACCACCCATCATAGAGTATAATGCCCACCCATTATAAAACATAATGCCCACCCATCATAGAGCATAATGCCCACCCATTATAGAGCATAATTACCACCCATCATAGAGTATAATGCCCACCCATTATAGAGCATAATTACCACCCATCATAGAGTATAATGCCCACCCATCATAGAGCATAACGACTACCCATCATAAAACATAATGCCCACCATCATTAAAGCATAATGCCAATCCATAGAATAGTATAATGCCCACCCATTATTGAGCATAATTACCACCCATCATAGAGCATAATGCCCACCCATCATAGAGCATAACGACTACCCATCATAGAGCATAATACCCACCCATAAAGCATAATGCCCACCCATCATAGAGCATAGTACCCACCCATAAAGCATAATACCCACCCATAAAGCATAATGCCCACCCATCATAGAGCATAATGACCACCCATCATAGAGCATAATACCCACCCATAAAGCATAATGCCCACCCATCATAGAGCATAATGACCACCCATAAAGCATAATGCCCACCCATCAAAAAGAATAATGCCCACCCATCATACAGCATGACACCCAACTATAATAAAGCATAATGCCTACCCATGGTAAAGCATAACACCCAAACACTGCCATCCAAATACATTTTGTATTTCTTATGACTGAACTGAAAGTAACGAGCCCACTACCTACCTGCTTCAGTCCTATAATGAGAAGTTCTGGCCAACTATGTGTGCAACATACTGAAACTATGTGATGATGGTGATTACACCATGAGGATACTACCCTGCTGAGCCACACAAACCTCCACCCCTGTAGCCACTATTCGCTAGCAGTGGACAATGGTACGCTGATCGTCACTATGAATACTGCTTAGAACAACCGCCGTGACGACACCAAGTCGACCGTTGTGGGTGCAAGTCTGGGCTCATGGTTTTACCTTGGTCTTGGCTGATCGAGATTTCAAGTAGGTGTGGAAGTAGAAGTTGAGAAACAGAAGAAGAATGGTGAACGCGTAAATTATCAACGCCCAGTGTAGAGCTTCCGGGAAGTCGCAACCATTCGTCAGCGACTGAACAGCATGCACGATTCCGGTCACAAACTGAATCTAAAACGGCAGAGAAAACAAAAAGTGTAAAAACTAATTTACCTTTGATTTAGACGTGGGCTTTTTCTTGAGGTATGCTTGGATGTAAAAGTTGATAAATAGGGTGATAATTGTTATTCCATAGACTAGGCCCGCATACTGCATCCAATTGGGAAAGTCGCACTCTATTAACAATCCTTGGATTCCGTACACCATTCCGATAAAGAATTGGAGCTACAAGCAGAAGAGAAATACGCATGCATAAAGGACGTGCCGTAGCACCAAGCTTGCTTCAGGTCTTGCAGTCAGTTAGGTTTCATTCACCATAATTTACTGTTATCAGGAAGATCGTGAACTTGGAACCAAGCCTCCAAGTATTACTGTAAGTATGTTAGTGTCAGGCGTGAAGATAGTATGATATGACAAAGGGGATGAAATAGTCCATATAAAATGTACCGGGTATATAATTCAAGAGTTTTCCGAGTGTAACATCTATCGGTACATGCTATGACATATTTAAGAAATTCATAATTTTGTGTATTTGGCTTTCGTTTTGGTAATTATTTCTTTTCTTATGTTTCATACACAAACTGCCATTGTCATATCATGAGGTTGACTCAGGAATCTATGACTGAGAGTCTCAGTGAGGAGGTGAGATTACAGTCATGCCTACACAAGGTAGTCACGCGGAACATAAAGCAAGAGGTAGCTACAATATCTATATACCTTCTCACTTCATTATGAAACATATACAAAGTTATTCATTGTACACACAAACATTCATGCTTAGCACAAGTGTAGGTGCAAAAACACAAAGATGATCCAAAAGAAAGTATTTCAGAAAGCATTCTCAAACAGATTTAAACTCATTCAGACAAAACACATTTCAAAATGGGAATGTTTCCAGTAGGAAAGTCATTTCGTTTACTTGTCATTAACATGTAGATTGTCTGGTTTTAATGAGGATGGTAGGTCATGATACTATTGTGAGAAGCATTTGACTCTTGTTAAACAAAGCATTAGTGTATTAGTCTGAGCAGCCTTGCATCAAGCAACATTTCTGGAGGGCCTGTTAGAAAAAGCATTAGTCTATAAGGAAGAAGAGTACCTAGCTCAGTCAAACATGAGCATTTGTTGATTACAATGAGAAGAGGCCAGGCAGAAGAATGCAGGGGTAAGTGAGGATATCATTACACAAAACACACAGAGTTATATAGTTGTACGTATTGTTTTCTGGTTAAACTGCTAATAATAAGCATGGTACTCAAAACAGTCGGATACATCAGTTGGGAAAGTTTCCTTGCGATGCCCAAGTTATGATTTGGATGTTAAAAAGTTATGGATTGGTCTGTATCGTATTTGTCTGAACACCCCACCAACCCCATTGTCTTAGGTACTTGTACTAGTTGCCCCCTCCCTCCCCTCCTAAATACATGTAACAGTTTTTCATGATCACTGCACAACAAATCAACAAATAGAACTGTGTGTCTTTTTTCATCCCTCCCTACACCCGCCACACACAGCAATTAGTCACCATGACAATCTCTCATTTTCAGTAGTGACTGGGGCGATTGAATCACCTGGGCATCTACAGATGTTTTCAAAATCTGTTCATGTTTTTAATCAAGGTGCTCAAATGATTTGATGCACTACACAGGGCAAGACCTGTTTTATTAAAATATAGATCTTGATTATCGATCAGATAGTCTTGACTGGGCACCGCCATTTTGTTTGAAGCAAATGCAAGTGACACGAGAGATGGAATCTGAGAAGGAACATACACGGGGCATAACTTGTAATAGCCACTAGTGGCGCTACGATCGAGCCACGAAATTCCAGCCTAGTTCGGCAAAGGTGGAACTGGACTATTATCATCAGTTAACATCCTTGCCTCGGGGAGATGGCAGCAAGACTACCTGCTCATGCATGGGCTATAGAAGGTGGTGGAAATACAAGATGTGATAAATACAAGTAAAAGGAAAATAAGGGATATATATAAAAGGAAACTATTGGATAACATGTAACTAGTGGAACACATATGTAGGATAAGACTGCAAGTAACTCAGTTCACAAATCCATTAACACAGTAAAGATGTATCTGCGCACATGGTTTCTAAAGTAAACTTTGTTCTAGGCAAGCTTGTTTGCTGACAACATCAGGTTTGCATGCGTACTTCAATATTCATTGCTAGCTCCATTCTTACGAGGAAACTAAGGGGAAACCATACCATGATGGTATGTCATCCTCACAAAAGTGACATTTGTGAAAATGAAGATTATTCGTCACTCCACAACCGATTCATAATTGACATAATGTGGAAGCAAAATGTTGCAATGACATACCATCACCCTGATTAATGAAGAAATGTTAAATGTTGTGATACAAAGATACGCTAATTTGAACTATTTCTCAAAACAAGAATATAAACAATTTGAAAAAGCAAATTAATCAAAGCCTACATGTTACAAAAAAGGATAAAAAAAGGATTAAACACAGGGTTAAAACATGAAGTAACAAAACATAACAAAATAGGTCAGGAAGAAAGTGATAGGAAAACCATGGAAACATTGAGATTATTTAGATTATAACTATCACACTTCTAAGTGTATGCTGTGAAGCCCATTTCTGATGTCCCCTGCCATGATATTGCTGGAATATATGCCATGATAAGCGGAGTAAAACCATACTCACTCACTCACTCACTATGCTCTTGAAGCAAGTCACACTATGAGGCAACTAAACTAGAAGCATCCTCGTCGCCCTGTATCATGAATGTAACATTCTTGACAGATGAGTCGGCCGGGTAGTCAGGATCAGTGACTTGGCTGATTGTGTGTCACCCCACCCCAACATAATGGGATGTAACGCATAAAATCAATCACTGGATTGTCTCGCCGAGACTTGATTATTTACAGACCGCCATCATATAGCTGGAATATTGCTGAGTGCGGTATTAAACAACAAACAAAAACTACACAAACATGTCAGTTGCTTATAGTTGAACTAGTACCTAGCTGAGACAGATCTCATTAACATCAGGTCTTGGATACTCGCTACGGCTACAAAAAAGAACTGAGGACATCTCATTACAGATCACATCAGAATGACGTTTCGTCTGACCAATCGAGCTTTGCTTACAAGATCGCAAATGTTAATGTCCAAATGTGTTTTTTGATCATGCCATCTCGAAAAGTATAACATAGGGCATTTTGAACAACAGTTAATGGCTGTACGACTGATTCCGATATCATCTATCTCTTGCTTCAATGGAATAAACATTTGAAATGGAAGACTTTCCCTAACCCATAAGAAGTACTGCCATACCATTTCAGCCATCTATTAGACATTTTTTTCTTCAGTTTCAAATTTTGAATTCCCGCCATTTTCAAACTAGTGCCATAAAGCTTGAGAAAGCTGCTTTCTGATTGGCAAATGCGTACTTCCTGTCATTTTGTTAGACAAAGTTTGTGGAAGGTCGTTCTGACATGACCTGTAATGTGATGTCCTCAGATTTTTGGTATTGCGGTAGCGAACATTAAGATTTGATTTAAATGAGACTAAGCTTAACTTGGACGGTCTAACCTGCATACAAACAAACACTATGCAAGATTGGGGTACAACCACAAAAGAATACTCTAATCTGTTGGTGCCCAGAGCGTAATCGTTACTATGGAAAAAAAGCAACATCAAAATCTGATAATGAAATTCTGACAAAATAACAGCACTGGACATGCTAGAAACGATTTCATTGCTAATGCAACCACACTAAGTAAAGGATGAGTTAATTATTACCACATTTACAATATATGCCAAGTTAATAACTATCTAAGTTAATGCACAAGTTAATTTTGGTCAATTCTAACAAAATGGATCGAACATTCTCTGGATGGTAGTCTACCAAGAATGCACTTCTGGCCGTGCCCACTGGTTGTTTTCATGCAAGAAATATTTACATGTCACATGCAGTGTTGGTTCTGATCTCAAAATCTCAGCACACACATTGGCCACGCAGAACAAAGCCTGGACTCACAGGCTGATCTCACAATTCTTGTCCACAAACTTTGGGAAGAACATCAACTTCTTGGCACTTTTGGAACTGTAGCACGTAAAATTGTAATCAGTGCTTTCTATTGATAGCAAAGTGACCTTGACCTACAACAGGTTGCCTTGGCCTTCACCAGCATCAACATTCCTGTTTGGAGTGAGACAGAAATACACTGCACACCGAGTGGCAAAAAACAAGAGACTAAGAAAGCAGACACATGGCATGCCCCTATGTACATTCTAGTCAGCTGCTACTGCATTCACATGTCCAGCTGTCTTGGTTGACGAAAGTTCAGTTTGCACCCGAAATCTGACACATTATTTCATCAAATAATGAAAGATGTGTCAAGGTGCACCATCACGGCAGTCATGTGTCAGCCATCTCTGCCCTACACAGGTCAACAGCATGCAGAAAAGGTCAGAAATGGACTCACCAGCTGGAGTTTGGTCAGGTAGCGTTTCCACCACAGGTATTTTTGGTACTCTGGTCCGAGAGCCGACACACCATAATATGTGTACATCAAAACATGGATGAATGAGTTGATCATGGCGCCGAAGAAGGCTGGAAGGTCAACATTTACAAGAAGGTCATTTCAAAGAACATTTGATTTGATTATTTTCCTTCTCAAAGATAGAAACGCATATTTCATAGCCTTCAAACATATACATCTACTCCAAATTACTTTTCATTAAGGCTCTGTTCATTTATTACAAGAGTGGGGACAGGAATTTGTATTCTGTAGTTCATTGCAAAAACTAGGAATCTTCGCTTTATGTCGTTTTTAATTTTAGCCTCCCTCAAATTACATCTACTTTTTAATAACAAATCTTTGTTTTCTGCTTGTTTTGATACTTTAATTTGAGTATTATTTCATGACCTCCCCTGAGCATTTAGTATTTTTTACAAAATTATCTTCCTTCCCCAATCATCCACACACAAAAAACGTAGTCTTATATCATTGTGACAGAAGTGTCATTTATATAAGATCTGCACTGTGTGTGTTCAGTAATCAGTCCAGCATTAGTTCTAGATGTCCTGTGACAAGCAGGTATACTCACACTGTCCACCAGCGACCCACTTGATGCCGACCCACCAGATGGGAAACATGGAGGCATGGTGGTACACGTGCAGGAAACTCACTTGGTTGTCCTTCTTACGCATGATGAAGAATATAGTGTCCAGCATCTCCACACACTTGGAGAAGTAGAACCACCACAGTGCACTGGCTACCTGTAGGCCAATAACAGACATGTTACACAGGCGCTCACAGACAATACAGGGCAATAATAGGCACTTGCAGACAATACAGGGCAATAATAGGCACTTGCAGACAATACAGGGCAATAGTAACAGACAATACAGGGCAATAGTAACAGGCACTCACAGACAATACAGGGCAATAATAGGCACTTGCAGACAATACAGGGCAATAATAGGCACTTGCAGACAATACAGGGCAATAGTAACAGGCACTCACAGACAATACAGGGCAATAGTAACAGGCACTCACAGACAATACAGGGCAATAATAGGCACTTGCAGACAATACAGAGCAATAGTAACAGGCACTCACAGACAATACAGGGCAATAGTTACAGGCACTCACAGACAATACAGGGCAATAGTAACAGGCACTCACAGACAATACAGGCCAATAGTAACAGGCACTTACAGACAATACAGGGCAATAGTAACAGGCACTCACAGACAATACAGGGCAATAGTAACAGGCACTCACAGACAATACAGGGCAATAGTAACAGGCACTCACAGACAATACAGGACAAAGATAACAGGCACTCACAGACAATACAGGGCAATATTAACAGGCACTCACAGACAATACAGGGCAATAGTAACAGGCACTCACAGACAATACAGGGCAATAGTAACAGGCACTCACAGACAATACAGGGCAACAGTAACAGGCACTCACAGACAATACAGGGCAACAGTAACAGGCACTCACAGACAATACAGGGCAATAGTAACAGGCACTCACAGACAATACAGGCCAATAGTAACAGGCACTCACAGACAATACAGGGCAATAGTAACGGGCACTCACAGACAACACAGAGCAATAGCAGACATGTCTTACGGCTAGTTGACAAACATGAGTGTGCCAAATTATGTCCAGCCCCTCAGTTGATCAAGAGACTAGTAGACAATTTTGCACCTGAGCTTATGCAGCATCTTTAAATTTGCCTTTGCTAAAACCTCTACATTGCCTGGGATAAAATCAATATATTAACTTGCTCCTAAACAATACATAAACAATACACAAGTCAATGAGTGTAGTTTCTTATTACATCAGTGTACCCCTCACACATGTTTGTCTAATGTTCACAAATGCCTTACTAATTATTTTCACAATAGGTTGAAAAGTCCCAGTTTCTTACTAAACGCTTGGTTTATGACAGTTTTAGTTGTACTATGTCAGTTGTACCAAGCAGCTATTGTCTTACCTTCATTTCACCATGCTCTCTGGTGTAGTTGACAGGCTGACAGGAATAACTATAATTTAACTTTGTTGAATACCATAGAAGCTGAAACAGGAAACAAATTGCCTTGCAGTCATCCACATCATTTTTAAAAAAGACACCAACGACATTATTGCACAAACCATTTCAAGGCACTTTTATTTCTAAAAACAGTGGATGTTGTTATCTTTAGTTTGGCCTAGACTAAGAATATTGTTTAAACCATTCTTAATACATACATCGTATTTCTACAGAAATAAGAGACAAACTATTACTATGGTCCATTGCACTTGTGAATGTGATATTTGCTTTATGTGTGAGCAAAGACTACTTCAAGATTAAATCTCTCAAAACCATAAATTATTATCATAAACTTACCTGGGAACATATATGGAAGTTCATTACAATTAAACCAAAATTGTAGAAAAATAATGTCCATTTGAATTTAAACGGCTCTCTGTCTTTCATTATTTTTGGCCCAACCCATACTGCAAACAAATACAATGCTGTGATGGCTAGTGTGGGTGTGTAACTCTGCATGAACAACCAGTCCTTGACTCGGTCATCTGAAACATACATATAGGTCATGTATCACACACAACATATTATCACAGAAAATTGACTCAAAGGAAATTCTTAAATAGGATACAATTTACAAATTTACGCCATATTGTCCCAATGTTATAGAGAAACCAAATAAATTCCAAAACAACTGGACTTTGTCAATCTAAAAGTTTACAACCATTCAAAAAAATGTCTATCCATAAGACTTTGAGCTATTAATGGGGCATATGAGAAAAGAATGACTTTTTTCCTGAAAAGATTTGTCCATTAACTGGCACATTTAGGTAGACTGTCTGTAGTTGTATGTGAATAACTTTACATTGTAATTAATCTTAGATAAATGCAGTCACATCAGAAACCATAGCTCTAAATACACTACAGATTAAATAATCTTCGTATCGGAGAAGCAGGCCTCCTCAGAAGTAAATATACACGTCACTGTAACATACTACGCTGAAACCGGGGGCATGTTTAGGAGGGCGCACTCAGCAATATTCCAGCTATATGATGGCGGTCTGTAAATAATCGAGTCTGGACCAGACAATTCAGCGATTAATATCATGAGCAATGACCTACGCAATTGGGATACGATGACATGCATCAACCATGTCAGCGAGCCTGACCAATCGATCCCCTTAGTTGCCTCTCAGGACAAGCATAGTCACCTCTTTTACGGCAAACATAGCTTGCTGAAGATCTATTCTCTATCCGGATCAAAATATTAAAAAGGCAATGAAGCTTTGAATGGAAGATCTAGTCTAAAAGATTATTCTTTAGACATCAGTTTCATTCTGGTTCAAGGCAAACATAGCTTATCAAATATGCAACAAAAAATATAAATACACTATTGAAATAAAGCAAATGCATATACTACAACTATTGGATAAAAGGATTGCGTATCAACCGATCACGTAATTCACTAACCGACAGTTACACTAGGAAGAGATTGTACGACAACAAACTTGAATAGCGCCTTGTCAATGTATCTTAAACAGCTGCTGATTGATGACTAAAAATATAGTGCCTTTCTTACAATGCTAGGTTTTGCAAACAAAAATGTCTTGGAGGGGGAGCTGCAAGCAGGCGTAGACGGATATACTACTATTCATTTAGATTTAAATAATTTACAGGAATTGTTACAAAAAAGCTTTTCAAATTAAAATACCCAAATGTCAAGAAACAGGTAGGCAAAAAAGTCTGAAAACCCTCTAAAACTTGTGGATACCCAATCAAAATCAAATCTTTGGGTAATATACCCAATAACTAAAAGCTTATCTGGAGCTCTGTGACTCAAACAAATTCATGCTCAATAAAAATAACAGAAATTGAGCTTCACATTTAGAGATGCATTAAATTCAAAAGGTGTGGCTGAAAAGTGACCTGGTGAAAGCAGAAATGCACTGTATTACAATAATTGAATATGTCTGCTTGCCAACAACTGCGCTATTCCTGGTGGGCCTGCTCAGTAAGTGCATGTTGTGAAATGTAAACACTATGTCTCAATAGTCACATTGTCGACACACTAACAAAACACCCACCTGCTTGTGTCAGTGCCCATGCATAGAACTTTTGAAAATGTTCAACTTTATCTGTAATCAGCTCCATCTTGCTCAACCTGTAACCAAAACACAACAACAGAGTAAGTAATACACTCAAAGGCAATCGCACATGTCATATATTAAAAAGTTCACAAGAGTCCAAAAATCTTTTACAAGTGTCATTACTGTAGAGAGAAGCTCAAATATTTTGTGCAGCAATCTGCAATATTTCATCTACATAAATAAAACACAAATCCAACTGCTGAAAAAAAGAAGAATAATTCTAAAAGTAAATTTGATTAATATGTAATTGGCTTTAAAATAAATTCCATACTTGATAACACAAAACTGAATTATATCAGCATTCAGTTCCTTGTCGTGTACGATATTGATCAAGTAGACCACCTAACTCCAATCATGTTGGCTACTACCAAATCACATGTCAAGGCCTGCCAACTCCTTGCTCACGTTCAACCTTTGAACTGTTTTAAGCTTGTGTTTTGGGGCAGTATTTTAGCAACAGGCATGACACTCCACATCAAAGCAAAAGAGGTCATGATTCCAGATCCTGTTCAGGCTTGAAGACAGATGGCACGGCCTGGTATGCATGTATACACCAGGGGATGAATGACTACCCTGTTGCTAGGGGCAACCAGGTTTCAGGTACCGTAAGGATCAGAGAAAGAATGCATGGTTGAGTGGTCAATAACACAAGGAAGCATATACTCTCTCCCTGTTGCCCTAACATCCACACAATGAACATTGATTGAGTAGTTTCAGCATCTATCAATATTGGTGTAGATCGTGCTCCCTTCAAATCTTAGCCACATAATATTAAACTGTTTACTTAGAAACAGGTGATTAGAAATCTGACGTTGTAATTCATACAGTTTGTGAAACTGAGACATTGTTTTGCAAATAAATACACAATTATTAACTGCTACATTGATTTATATCATAACATTTTAGACAAGTGGTATTAGAAAGACACAAACATGTGACTGCCAAAGTGCCTGAGCCCTTTAGAAACATTCTAATGACTCAAATTATATATAGAATGTTTGTTGGAATATGGCCACAGCACATGTAGAATAAGGCAGGAATATATAGTTAAATGTTGATAACCCTTAGTACACATTTTAGACCGCTCTCTCCTCTACCAGGTTGTGATAAAAAATAACATGCGATCTGTTTTCAACTACAAGCAATAACAGATTACAGTGGCCCATCAATATTTGGTATTGAACGGTCCATAATTTATTCAAATGGCCTATTATGGCCCTGGTAATAAAATAATTCATAATGTAGACCAGATAACTCTACTCTGACAGCTTTGAAGCAAATGAACATTTTGAGGAAACAATCACAACAGGAAATTCACCAATCATAACCACAAGAAGACTGCACACTTTCATCATAAGTTGGCATGATATCATCACCAAGCTAAAGCTGTCATGGAATCACCAGACCCACATACTTTTAAAAAGTGCAGTATAGGGAATCCCAGGTTTTGACTGCAATAATCTGTGCTTTTGTGATTACACGCAGTGTTTGAAATAAGCGCCTGCCAGGTAGTTCTTGTGTCAGGTCCGTATTTTCAAATTTCTATGGGTCCTCATGGCCTGCAGTAAATTTACATTTTGACTTATTTGTCACAAAAAGCTGCAGATTTTTTAATGAGGGCCTGATGAGTTTAGTCAGGGCTTGGAACTTCTAAATCTGTGGCAGCCTGGCAATTTATCTTATTTCAAACACTGATTTATCCCGCCAACAGACATAGCATAATAGTAATACATGTAAGGAAGACAGAAATGTATCACACTGGTTCAAGTGTTCTTGAAAACAATGATATCAAACTATATCCATTTTCTTACTGAACAGTCTTTTTGTTAGTATTGGAGGTCGCATAATTTGAATACAACTGTTTATGTTGACATTTTGCTTGATACGGCTGGATAATGTTTGTAAACAACAGTACATTAAATAAACTAAACTAAAATAAAGGCAGAGATGTTATTAAAACAAAACTACTTGGGAAGTTCTGATATGTAGGCAGGAGCAAAATGAGATGACAAAGTGAGGTATGTTTCATCATAATATCATTGCCATACTCCTGTGTGGTGTGGGGCCCAGCACTTTATGGGGATGCCATGAGTGTTGTATATACTCGATACCATCTATAACATGGGTTCACTATCACTTATCAAGTTAAGAATATTGAACTCAAGATAATAATGTATCACAAAATGAAGTCCAAGGTCATTTCCAGATACAGGAAATAAAATGACCTGATTGACATTTCATATTAGAAACGCTTCAATTTTACCACTATATTCCCCTCATCCACTTAAATGTGTTACAACCTCCAAACAGGGGAATATGTTTTGTTATATTCCATGTTCATATCTCTTTTCTGATTCACTGCAGTCCATTTCAATTGTAAAACGCTTGCTGCATAACAATTTTATATTATTTGCTACAATTCACACTCAGTAGTTATTGTCAAAAATAATGGCAAAACACTACACTTCATTGCAATAACACATAGAAAACTCATCAAGTCAGAAACCATTATCAAACATTTACAGTAACACCAACCCGTGAAGATCTGGGGTAGAATAGGTCTTCAACCCATGCTTGCAGTAAATAGGCAACTATGCTTGATGTAAGAGGCGACTAAGGGGATTGGGTGGAGAGGCTCGCTGACTTGGTTGATGCATGTCATTGTAATTGCGTGGATCGATGCTCATTATGTCAATCACTGGATTGTCTGGTCCAGATTCGATTATTTACAGAGTGCCATCATATCGCTGGAATATTGCTGAGTGCGGCGGTAAACAACAAACAAACAAACAAAACATGTAGCCCCACTTAGATGAGACTGTACACTTGGCTGGCCTACTTCCTCACTATACATCTTTCGGGAGATCTTATAATGAGAGAGTCTAATGCTACTATGCACACTGGTGCATTCCAGTCGACAGTTTAAAAATTATCAACAAAATGGCCAGCTGTCCATGACAATTATGACTAGGTCTATTACTATTATCAATTTATGACATTAACTTAACAAAATATATTTGAGAACACTTGGTAGAGTGTTCAAAACCTGAACTGGAATAAGTTCAATGTCTTTCATCATCACCATCCATAATAAAAAAAACCAATGTATGTCATTAGTAATGTAATTGATTATACCAGTGAATGAAATACTATCAATGCAAGAGTTCATACACACACATAAATAAAACGGTTGAAATACATTACATGCGTCTGGTTTGGCTACAAAACACACCAGTTGTCAAGTTAATTGAATTATTTACTAGAGATATGTTCTAAGTGTATCAGAAAATGGAATGGTGTCACGGATAAATAATGCGATTGTGCAACACATGTTGGAATTGAAACTAACAAGGAAGGAGGCACGCCCACAAATCAGGATTGCGATTTTCCGGAACAGAAAATGTTTTGAAAGTAAAATCAAGTGTATCACATGGGAAAATAACGGTATGAGCATTATGACTGACAAGCGATAGCTTATATACATGGCAGATCGCGACGTTTCTAAGAGTAGGCATGGTCTAAATAAACTAAATAAACTGAAGCGTCCATGCTTGTTGGCGAGGGACTCATGAACGGTGATCGGAGAATGTGTGAACTCACCTCTGTTGCTGGAGCGTATGAAAATTTCTATTCTGTTGAAATTGAAGTATGTTAGGTCTTTTCTACCAAATGATGCTGATCTCAATTGGCTGTAATGCATGTACGGACAAGGCAAATGCCATCGAGGTTGCTACCAACAACAACTATACAAACTTCACGCACCTACAAACAACTATGGCACCGGTCAAATGACCAATGAGAATAGGTGTTATGCGGCAACCTCCGCATGGGTATCTAATGTTCATTTTCATTGGCTCATAATGGGACAGCACGTTTGGAGGACTTCCATTTATCATCAGCCAATGAACATCGCTGTTAACGAATGCATCATTGGAGATACTTTCTTAGGTTAAATCTGATTGGCTCTTACCGGAGGAAGTGTCCGGTGAATCCCAGTCTGGAGAAGTGACCCCTAACCTCGTGTAAATCAACACATTTCAGTATCCAGGCACCGCATCAACCCTGATTGTTCATCGTTGCTGTAAGTAGTTTTTGTATATAATAATTAGTCTTTAAAAACTAATGTTGCCATATGTGGTTGTTATTTTATCGTAAATAGTTAATTGAAAACTCCAGGCGCTGTATCTGCAAAGGTCATTTTGCACATGACTTTAATACATGATGATCGATTTACGGTTCCACCCTGTTAATAGGACAATCCATTACTAGTAAAACTTTTTTTGTAATACTGTGAATGTAGTTCAAAACGTATGCCATACACCATTCCAAGTTGCCTTAAACACATCAACTAACTGTGTTATTACCACCGTCAGAATGATGAACCCTCTGCCATAGAGGATGAGGAAAAGCATTCACCCAACTAGATAGGCCTGGTGGTACGAGTCTAAAGTCCAACGTATGATAGCTCTTATACGTCAGCTTTTATCCATTCTTTGCGTTATGCATTCAAGGGGAATTTCTCAGTCACCATCTCTGATCTGGTGAGATACATCTCATTTAAATACCTCAGTTGTAAGGAAATACTCTAGTGCAGTGGTCATCAGCGAAAAGGGATATTGGTAAGAACCTATTTTGTATGTTGCTATCCTTGCATGAAACCTTTGCTTTAATTAGCGAATTCTAGTTAAATTACATACAAGCAACTGGGCCTTTTATTATAAAATATATTAATAGTTTATTTGAAATGAAAAAGTCTTCATTTTATCAAACATTGTTAAAAATATCCAGATAAGCTTTAACATTTTATCAAAAGTTGTATTTTCATATTATATTGCCCATGCTGACAGATCCAGGTGAAGTACATTATGTTCATGTGAACAAATATCCATCATATGCATGGTAAAATATGACATGAATAAAGATATGTAAATTCTCTGTCTGATATGTTTGTAAAATATCTCTTTCTATCAGCATATTGATGACAGTAGTTTTGAAGTGACTTGAAAATATATTCATAGCAGGTTTAGCAGGAACTTTCCATTTTTTATTGTCACTGACCAATGTTAGCATACAACTATGTTTTCAAGCATTTATAATGAAATGGGTTTTTTTGACAGCTATTCAACAAGTTGCATGCTCAGATGTCAATGGGATTTATTAGAACAACAATGTCCACTAATCAATGCTAATTAGGCAATTGTGTGAGATAGAAGTGATTAGTGGGGGTATTATTAATGTCACATGGATTACCTGAGCTAATGAGTTGTATTGTTACCTACACAGGGAGGGGATATACAGTATCTCACAAAGGAGCATTTAATAATGGAAAGAGCAAAATCTGTTTAGGGTATACATGTTTGATCATATCAATGTTAAATGTTTATTCCAGAATGTTACTATGTTTATCAAGTTTGTAGACATCTTGGAAGTACAGAAAATTCACCTGTACTAAGGGGATCTGAAGTATATGTATATGTGCTAACTGAATTAACATCATCAATAATTCAAGGGTTTGTGCACACTACATATCTCCAGTCTGAAGCCTACTATTCTTTACATTGCTTCAATATGAGGAACAGTGGGAATTGAAAAGAATTCAGCAGAGAGTGCATCTTCCCAAGGCAAGGGAGTTAACTGACCATAATAGTCTAGTTTCCATCCTTGCATAGTCCAGTCAAAATCAGGCAACAAACTAAACATCCGGTTCATAAACAACCTGCAACATGCAGATTTCAATCATCTGAAGGATTTGCAAAGCTTGTGGACCGTCAACTGGGCATTGACAGATATTTTCCAAATCTTTTCATGTTTTTGATCAAGGTGCTGAAATGATTTGATGGACTTAAAGGGGCAAGACCCTTTTTAGTACAATATAGACCTTGATTATGAAGCAGATCATCTTGACTGGGTACCACCATTTTGTTTAAAGCAAATGCAAGTGATGTGAGGAGAGGTGAAATGGGGTTTAACATCACGTCCAAGATTATTGCACTTATATAGGGATGTGCATGCAAACGTGTGTGTGTGTGTTTGTGTGTGTGTGTGTGGTGGGAGTGCGAGCTGACCAGTCCTTGGTTTAGCCCCCTAATGTCGAGCACCAGACAGGGTAACAACAAGTACCATTTTTTAAAACGTTTTTTGGTATGACGCGGCCAGGATCGAACCCCAGACCTTCCGCTCGGATGCTCTATGGAGGCGATCCCGTAAATGATGTGAGAGGTGGAATCTGATTAGTCAATAGGACGGACATAGAAGGGACATAACTCGTAATGGTTACTGGTGGAGCTACGATCTAGCCATGAAATTCCAGCATTGTTCGGCAAGGATGGAAACTGGACTTTTGTAGTCAGTTAACTCCCTTGCCTCAGGAAGATGCTCAGAGTGGGGTTTATTTGACTAGAATGAGTTCTTCAGGCTCTCATTGCATGAGTAACATCGACATGTGTCACTACTACCCACTTTTCGGCCATATGTTTTCTTGAGTGATGGAGGAACATAGTGTATACAAACCTGAGAATTATTGACAATGAAGTGACAGTAATGACTGCTTAAAGTCCTATTCATAAAGACTGTACCATAGCCTCCATTTTGGGTAGTGACAGTGAACACTGTAGTAACAGTAACCCATAATTTAGAATGAAATTATAATTTGTACCAAGCCCGAAGTAATAATAAGTAAGGCTTGATCTATGAAGATCAGCACAGATTATATGTTTTATAGATTTTAACACTGCTGTGATTGTAGACAAATGGTAGATAAATTATGTTTTGAATTTGAAAAATAAGTTTAATCAAACTGATCTTCGAATAAAACCAAAACACAGATATCCCCAAATGAAGCTGTGTTATTTGTCAACAGTAATGTGGAGTGAACAGCTCACAAGCAGAGTAACAAGTTTGTTCAAAGGTTAATTGAAAAGTGAAATAGTGAAATCTTTGTTGTGGACATGACGTATGTGATAGAGGTATAGCCGCAAACGCCTTTGGACAATTGAGCAAATTGTTTTCCTGTGGCAAGTCAGTAAAATGAGCAGGGGTCTGTGATCTTTTTGGAAAATGGACAAACTGGAGGAATGTGCATTGATCAAGTACTTGTCCTGAAAAATGCCTGAAACACCAAAAGCCACCATGAAGATATGAGTCATATTGCTAGTTCAGTAGGCATTTCACAGGAGAGAGTACAGTTCATTATCACAGAAACTTTGTCAATGAATAAGTGTTAGCTCATTCAGTTCCAAAGCTTCTAACATCAGGCACAGCATGTCTCATGATAATCTAGCTCTGTTTGAAGCTGATCCAGAAAGGTTCATACAACGATTTGTGACTATGTATGAAACCTGGGTTCACCACTTCTAGTCTTAGTCCTAACTTAATCAAAACAGTGGAAGCCAGACAATAACGGCAAGGTCATGGTGACATCTGCTAGATTCGCCTGCGAATCACACACAAGCTTGAGCAACTGTTGGCATATGATGCAAAAACGTAATTAATAATAAGAGTTGAAAGGTCGTTTCCAGCAATGCTTAAAAGTTTAAGTATGTATGAAACTTTATGAACGGCAAGGTCATGGTGACATCTGCTAGATTCCCCTGCGAATCACACACAAGCTTGAGCAACTGTTGGCATATGATGCAAAAACGTAATTAATAATAAGAGTTGAAAGGTCGTTTCCAGCAATGCTTAAAAGTTTATGTATGTATCAAACTTTATAATAAAAGGGAATTTAGCAAGTGTATGCTACTGGAAATTAAGCGCTTAGCTTGTAACATTTAATACATGGTGATATGCATGCTCAGAGCAAAAAGACACGATACAATTACATTCGTATTAGGTTAAAACATACTGTGAATAAATGTATATTAATTTGCAAGTTAGCCACACAAGTCTGCTGTCCACTGTTCCAAGAATACTTCATATTGTGTATCAACATATTCAAACAATCTCATGAGTCTGGGCATACACAATCTCACTTAAACAGATCTTAGTTCTCGCTACCTCAAAACAGAGATCTCATTACGGGTCAAGCCAGAACAAACTTTTGTGAACTTTGACTAACCAATGAATTCACTAATGCTTTGAAAAATTTGTTGAAAAAGTTGTTGAGTGAAAAATTTGAAAAACGAACAAAGGATCATTCTGGAAAGTCTAATAGATGGCCAAGATTGTATGGCAGTACTTCTCATGAGCTATGCTAGATTCTGTTCAGATGTTTATCCCACTGATGCGAGAGATAGGACGATGATTTTGACTAATTAAATTTTACAGCCCATATCTGTTGTTTGTAATACCCTGTGTTATCCTTTTCGAGGTTGCATCATTAGAAAACACATTCCGACTGTCACTTTCCTGATCTGATAAGCGTCGCTCTGATTGGTTGGATGAAAGGTTGTTCTGATGTGACCCGTAATGGGATGTCCTCGGATCTTTGTTAAACGGTAGTGAGAACTAAGATCTGATTTTAATGAGGTTGTGGCATACAGTGGCTATGGACAATGTATTAAATGCATGTAACACATGACTTGAAATTTGGGGAGATAAACTGTTCAAGAGCAAGTTCACTTTACCTTTGGTGTGCGAGTGACCAAGGCGTCGAAGTTACAGGCTGAATAATATCCAATTTTATTAATTTTCTGTTACCATTCATATTCTTCTAGGTCTGTTTAAGATATATATAGAATACTAAACTCACTCCCGTGTAATACCAATTCTATGAAACGAGTGAATAGTTGTGGTATCTGACTCGCTTTCACTCGTCAGATACCACAACTATTCATGAGATTCATAAAATTGGTTTTACACGGGAGTGAGTTTAGTATTTCATTTATTACTTGTCATTGAATTTATACTGTTGAGTATGAATATTGAAGATTTAATACCATACAACGGTCCACCTTTAGAATTCACAAAATTATCGTAGGGCTAAGACTATCGCAACTCACATACTTTAACTTAGACTAACGAATGTCGTTGCGCTACAATACGATCGCCTTGTGGAACGGGCCTTGCGCCTCAAAGTTTACAATAACGTCACAATACCCGATGTCGTAATTTGTGGAATTTTGTTGCAAGATCCATCGGCGAAACAATGCCATGTCACGTCAGCCTAGCAACAAGGTTGCTGGGGGTCATCGAGTGTGCATAAGCTCCCATCAGTGATTTATCAACTCCACACGCAATGTCGTTGAATAAGCCAAGGGATGTTGTGAGCTTTCAATATTTGTTCGTGAAACGTGTTCAGAGAGTACATAAGCACGTGTTTTGGTATTTCACAATGTGTAATACAGCTGTATGTTTATTAAACAGGTGATCTCTTCACCGGCAAGTAATAAAAACAGATATTAATTGCAAATGTCGTTCACCAAGTCATGTTTGCATGGCCAATGTCAAAGACATAATTCATAAAAACTGTTTTATATCATGATGTATGTATATTTACAGTTACTACATCTATGGGGTTACATTGATATCTGGGGTATTTTGTAACCCTGTTGTATTTGCATGAACATAAGTGATATTGTACCAAAGGTATCTCCAATGAAACCTCTGGAAATATGTGTCCTATCTCAGATTCCCAGCCTTGCTCCTTGGAAAAAGGTTGGCTTCTAACAATAAAAGGACT